GAAGCGCTACTTCCTGCTCCCAGCTCACCGCCTTGCCTTCCCTGCCGCCCTCCTGGCCCAGGCCCATCAGTAGCACGCCCGAGCTGTCCCGAACCGCACTTACCTTGGGTCTGCAAGCTCACACCGGCTCGTGATGGCACGCAGAGGGCTCGAGATTGGTCTCCGGTGGACCCCATCCGAGGCGATTGCGAGGGCTTTCCGGAGGCCATCACCGGCGCCACCGACCGTGAAATGTCCCGACCCGCAGCCCTCATGCACCAGGCGCATAGATGCAGTCATAATATGTAGGCCTTCTCTCCCGAAGTTTTGAGCAATAGCCGCAAAAGGTGCTTTTCGGCAGTTCATCGCGACACGTCCAGGTGCCGACGAAGCGGCTTCCCAGCTCACCACCTCGCCTTCTCTGTCGCTCTCCTGGCCCAGGACCATCGGTAGCATGCCTGAGCTATCCCGAACCGCACTTGTCTCGGGTGTTCAAGCTCACACCGGCTCGTGATGCCACGGAGAGGGCTCGAGATTGTCCCGGTGGCCGGTGGAGCGACCCATCCGAGGCGATTGCGAGAGGGCATTTCGGAGGTCATTATATCGGCGCCACGCGATATCCCGTCCCGCAGTCCTCATGCACCAGGGGCATGGGTTCAGTCATAATATGTAGGCCTTCTCTCCCACAGTTTTGAGCAATCGCCGCAAACATGCGCTTCTTGGCACTTGTGCGCGAACTCACACGCGGTCACACGCGCGGACTCTCCAGCCTCGCTCAGCTCACCACCTCGCCATCTCTGTCGCTCTCCTGGCCCAGGCCCATCCGTAGCAAGCCCGAGCTGTCCCAAACCGCACTTATCTCGGGCCGTCAAGCTCACACCGGCTCAAACGACCCACATACGGGCCCTCACACGCACATTACAGATCGGCATAGACGCCACCGAGCCCGCCGCCCGGACGCGCGGGTACGCACTGCCGCGCGTGCCGTCGCCGCGAGTACGGGAGCGAGCACGCGTGTGTGCGCCGCGCCTTCGGCCGGTCGCCCTCGCCGCCGCCACAGCGCTGCCACGGCGGCAGCAGCCTCGGCGCCGCCGCCCGCCGCCGCCCAGACGCGCGGGTACGCCGCGCCGCGCGTGCCGTCGCCGTCGAGCGAGCGCCACGGTGCCGGTCGTCGCCGCGCGCGAGCAAGCGTGGCGCTCCTTCTGCTGCAGGCGCGGCGGGCAGCGCCCGCTACGACGCCTCGCAGGCTGAGCCTCGGCGGCGTCGAGGTCGGTCGCGCTCGCTCCCGCGGGCGCGGCGGTCGCCACCGATCCGGACGCGGCCATGGCGGCCCTCGCGGCCGGCGCGCAAGCCGCAGAGCCTGCCGGAGGTGCCACCCGAGCGGCGAGGTGAGTCGGTGGCGGCGGTGGCGAGGCCTATGGCGGTGCGAGCGGGGCTGATAGAGGCTCGTCGATAGTGCATCGGCTCGGAGGCTGCGATTAGCGGCTAATCACCGGGTGAACGCAACTGCGCCGCTCGCCACCAAAACGCCGCCGAGAGCCGCCGCCGGCTGCGTCGCGACCGCCGCCGCGCGGCTCGCGGCGGTGGACCCAGCGTCGCCGCTCGGAGCCGCCTATATACTCGACCAAGACTCGGGCTCACGGCCGGGTGAGCGACGGGCTGGTTGACGGCCGCCGGCGACCTAGCACGGCGCTGCACGCCGCAGAGACGCCGCCGAGAGCCGCCGCCGGCTGCGTCGCGACAACTGAGTCCGCGCGCCACGCGCGGGCGAGGGGAGCGGCGACGGGGCGGTGGGCGACGAGCCGCAGCAGCTGCGCCTAAAAATGAGGTGGCGGCGGGAACTAGAGCGTCATCTGCTGCCGTGCGGGGAAGCGAACACCGCCCTCGAGCGCGCCGCGGCAGTAATCCGTCCGAACCAACGCGACAGCTCGGTCCGCGCGCCGTGCTCGCGCGGCGGTGAGGGGGGCGGCGGTGAGCGGTGCCGGCGGCGAGCCGCAGCAGCGCAACGGCCACGCAAAGGCTGCGGCCTGAGAGCGCCGGAGAGGAGGCGCTCAAGAGGTGGCGCACCTCAACAGCGCTCCTCCGGAGCAATCGATTCGGAGACCTCGCCGCCGCCTCGCCGCGCGGCTGAGCCGGCACAACCTTCCGGGCCTTCAGGTCTCCACAGCGCCGCCCGCCACACCGCGAGCTTTTTCTTTTTTATCTTTTATCAAAACGGGGCTGCAAACAACTTATCCACTAGCTCTCGAACCAAAAAACAGAAAATTTGCGGACGGCTCGAGTTGTGCTCTGATACAGACTACCCAACCCACAGGAACCGGTTGCAGATTTCTTGGTTGCAGCAGGCAGCCTGATCGATCGAAATAAATACAAGCCGGCAAAGCCGGCGGTCGCAGCCGTGCTCTAGAGAGATATCGCAGTCTCAAGTGAGCTTCCAGGCTGAGCCGGTGCAGAGTGTGCCGGAGCAGCCGGCGCCGAAGAATAATCGTATCCCCAAGTGCCCCACGCCCCGTATTCGAACTCCTCGGCCTCGGCGGCAACCTCGTCTAGTGCCTCATCCGCCCTCTGCATCGAGTCTGCCGAATTGTCGCTCTCCGCTGCCGGTGCTGGCGTGTCTCCTAGGTAGCTGTTGAGAGCTTGCACAAACTCATCGAGTGAATGCACGACGACAACACAGCACCCGCCCGAACCAACCGTGTGCGCCACTCCTGTTGGCGTGGTTGCAGCCGAGCACCGGGTACTTTCACCTCGACTGCCAAGCCGATCTCGTTGAAGGCTCCTCGCCAGTGCACGAAAACATCCGGGTAGCCGCTCGAGCTCCCGGTTGTTCGGAGTGCGTTCCATCGTATGGCGCCAAGGCGACCGCCGCCAAGGAAGGCGCCATTGACAGAACCCACAAAGGGCATGTCAGGCCAGTGTTCGCGCAAAAAGTGAGCGATTGCCTTCTGTATCTCATGCTCGCGGCGATGCCGAGAACGCGTCATGTTGAGCACGGCGCGACTGTTATGACTTTGCGAAAAAGTTTGTTTTAGAATCGCGAGTGTTCAGTGAGATCAATCGAATAAGTACACTATAGTCCCGGTGACCACCCGCAACCATTCGAGGCGATTTGCAACGCTTTTACTGCATTTTTTTGAAAAACCCCACCCTATATGAGATACCAAGCCTGGGTATTTCGATTGCGGCTGTAAGTTCACTGTAAGACTTACAGGTAGCTGTAAGGTCAATTGAAATACCTGGCTGGGGTATATCGATTCGGGGCGGATATTTTTCACTTTAATAGTTTTCCTTAACTTATTTCGCACACATTTGCCCCCCCAACCAGTAGAGGTTGAAACACAACTTTTTTGCTTTATGAGGTGCAATATGAGGTGTGGATGGAGCGCTAATGAGTCACTAGGAGCGCCGTTCGAGGGGGCCGATAGGCGTGACACGGCTCAAATTTGGGTTAAAAACTTCGTATTTTTGGCCTTGAAATGGCAAATTTTCTTCGGGGGGGCTCTGCCCCCCCAAGCCCCCCCGCTGGGGGGGGCAAAGCCCCCCCCAGACCCCCCCCCTACACTGGAGTGGGGTGGTTTACAGGGTTGAGAAGATATACGCTCTAGGTATCGCCGGCGACAATAAAAAACACGCCACATCGGCATGCCATCCGCCCCTCTTGTTGCTTTACCACTCCCGCAAGTGCTATTAGTACAAAAAATCACAGAAAATTCACAAGCGCTCGCGAAGCCGAGCCACGCGTCACGCAGCAGCCCTGAGGTGCCCTGAGCACACATGCACATGCGAGCGCCCACATGGTCATATCTCGTCGTGCACTCGCCTGACAGTAGTTTGCGGAAGACCGCCGCCAGCATGTCGTCACACCGGCGCTGCCGGTGGCCGAAGGCAGCCACCGTGGGTCCAGCAGCGCGAGCTGGTGTGCATCCGCGCTCCCAGAGCATGCCGGTGGGTGGCCTTGATTGACCAGGCGCCTGAGCAGCTCAGGAGTGGAGGCAGCCTCTGTCTGGACGAGCAGCGCTGGATCGCCAAACCAGCAGAACAGCGCCGAGCGGCGGCGCCGACTCCGTGAGACCACTCCAACTCGCACATCAAGCTGTATCTCGAGCGGAACGCGATCGAGTTAGAAGCAGCCCATCCGGCGCACGCGCGACACGCGGCGTCTTCAATGGTTGACGGAGCCCGTCACTCCAGTGGCCGAGAGGAGCGACGGAGCGATTGTGCGGGGTCCCCTTTTCATGGGCGTACTAATACCACTTTCGGGAGGGTCGTACCTTAAGGTACGTTATTTGTTATTCTTTTCGCGTGTGGGTCGGACGGTCTCAGGGTGATGCGGGCCGCTTCCCCCACCACTCGAGAACACGACATTCATGTAGAGAGTCGACTGGACTCATTTCCCTTACAGCACGGCAATGCCATGAACACTCCGCGCCGTCACCAGTGGCGCCATCTCCTCCCACGCATTCCCGGCCGGATCGTACATCTCCACCGAACTCAGGTAGTTGCTGCCGTCGTACCCGCCAGCAACGTACAACTTGCCGTCGAGCGCCGCCACGCCGTGCCCCGCCCGCGCAGTCGCCAGTGGCGCCACCGCCTCCCACGCATCCAACGCCGGGTCGTACCGCTCCACGGACGTGAGGTAGCCGTCACCGTACCCGCCAATAGCATACAGCTTTCCGTCGAGCACCGCCACGCTGAGACACTCCATCGCCCTCGTCAGCGGCGCGACCGCCTCCCACACGTTCGTCGCGGGATCATACCGCTCGACCGTGCTGAGGGCACCTTCGTCGGCATTTAGGCCACCCACAGCGTACAGCTTGCCGTCAAGCACCGCCACGTCGAAGTCTTTCCGAGCCGCCGCCATCGGTGCCACCGCCTCCCACGCGTTTGTCGCGGGATCGTACCGCTCCATGGAGCGGAGGGCGGCCCCCGGGGGGACCTCGTAGTCCTCGCCGCCCACAGCGTATATGCCGTCGAGCACCGCCACGGCGTTGAGATACCGTGCTGTCGCCATCGGCGCCACTGCGTCCCATACCTTCGTAGCCAGGTCGTACCGCTCCACCGAGCTGGGTGCCGCCGCCCCACCCACAGCGTACCACTTGCCGTCGAGCATCGACCAGCGTACACCGGATCGTGTCGGCGGCAACATCGGCGCCACAGCCTCCTCCTCCCACTCATTCGTTGACGGGTCGTACCGCTCCAACGAGCTGAGGAACTCGCCCTCGCTGCCTTCGCCGCCGAACACGAGCAGGCGCGGCCTCTTGCGCCGCGCCAGCGTCTCCTTCCAGCCGCGGCGCCACGCGCGGCACGTCCCCTTGGCGGCGTGCTCCTTAGTCGGCAGCTGGCCGAGGATGTGCGGGGCGAGGTCCGGCGAGAGGAGGACCTCGGAGAGCACCCACTCGGGCTGCTCCACGAGCCGTGCGGCGTGCTCCTCCGCCACGCGCAGCGCGGCGGCGCTCGCGCCCGCCTGCGCCTCGATGATGGCGCACAGCTGCGCTGGCGAGAGGCCCGCGACGCGGGCGCCGATGCGGTGGGAGGCCATGGAAGGTCTCGCGCCTCACTCACACACGTGCTGCGGCCTCTTTGGTTTTTTCTGGAAATCTGAGCGACACTGCTCGATGTGAGGTTGCCGACTGCACTCCAAGTGCTCCAAGTGCTCGGCGACTGCCGGCACACTGTGTCTGTGAGACCATGGGTGTGAGGTAAAACCACGCTACCAGCGCTTGGTCACATCGGCCCCGAGGTCAGATCCTTCTACTCTGGAGTATGACGGCCTCTTCGACGGCCCATAAGGGGCCGTTGTCTGCTGTTTTGTTTGCCTTTTGTGGTGCTAGTTCGTGCCAGTCTGCTGTGAGAGGGGCTTGTATTCGTAGAATTCTACTCTGTTAGTGACAAGACTTGTCTACTGGCTGGAGCCGAGCAGGAGGGCCCGGCGCACAACCCCTGGTCAACTCACGGTCCACACCCCGTACTCAGCCCGCCCGACCGGGTCGTCGGCGGCCCAGGGCGCGGGCATGCGGACTGCGCTGCATGTGAGGCTGTGTGCGCGGCCAGCGCGTATGTTTCCGTGCGGTGAGGGACGCGCGTATGTATGTGTTCACGTTGCGGGCGCGGACGGGCGCGGGGGGCGGCGTGGTCTCACCGCGGTCCGACGTCGGTTGGTCTTCGGCGTGACGAGGGCGGGCGCGCAAAGAGGCCTTGCCGCCATCGCGTTGCCGCGAAGGCAAAGAATCTTTTGGCAATATGGCCTATATTACAGCCCTTGAGGAGGAGGAAGAGGCTGGCTGGCAGTGCTGTATGCCGCCGAGGGGCAGTTTTGGGGTGCTGTCACGGGCCCAGGGGGCTACAAAACGTGTCCGCAGCCGGGACAACCCGCCCCCCAGCCGAGGCCGGTCGAAGCCCACTTGGGAGCAGCCATGAGGAGTCCTCTTGGTGCTCCTGGCGGCCGTTTGAACCTCGGGCGCGCGCCGATGGGAGGTGGGTGTGTCTTGCTTGCTCCACACCGAGCGCCATCGGTCCGGACCGGTGCTCCCACCGAGGGTCGGCTTGCAAAAGGTCTGAGCCGCGGGCGCTCGGCGCCAAGTGCAGTGTCACGCTCGCACGCGAAGGGGACACAATGTTTGTGGCAGACCTCCTCAACAACAAGATCCGGCGGGTGGAGGTGGCGACTGGAGGTGACAACGATCGCGGGCAGTGGCACCACGGGCATCGCCGATGGCGTTGGCGACGCGCGGCGCAGTTCGACTGCCCAGATGAAGTCGCCATCAGCCCGGACGGCAGCACTCTGTTGGTCGGTTCCGAAGGAGGCCTCCGCCAGGCGGGTGGAGGTGGCGACGGGAGAGGTGACGACCCTCGCGGGCAGTGGCACCAGGGGCAGCGCTGACGGCGTGGGCGACGCTGCGGAGTTCTTCTACCCAGATGAAGTCGCCATCAGCCCCGACGGCAGCACGCTGTTGGTCAGTTCGAGCGTTGGCCTCCGCCAGGTCTGCGTGGCTGCGCCTCCTCCGCCTCCCTCCTTTGCCCCGATCGTCGTTCCGCCTTCGACCCTTGGAGCCGACTTCGCAACGACGCGGGGCGACGCGTCCCTCCCGCAGGGCATGGTCACCTTCCTGGTCGGCGACGACCGGGAGCGCATCGAGAACGTGAGCAAAAACAACCTCTGCGCCCGGTCCCCGGTCTTTCGGACCATGTTCGGCATCGGCATGAAGGAGCGCGACGCCGCCGAGGTCACAGTGTCCCACACCGACCTCGCCAGCTTCACCGCCCTCGTCGACTACCTCCTCTCCGACAAGTTCGACCTCGGCGAGGAGGAGGGCAGGGCGCAGCGCGCGCTCGACCTGCGGGAGCTGGCGCAGATGTACCAGGTGCCGCGCCTCGAGCTGCTCTGCGCGCAGGCGCTGCAGGAGAGCGTCGCGCCGGCGACCGCCGTGCCGCTGCTCGAGGCGGCGCACACGACGGGCGACGGGCGGCTCCTCGCGCAGTGCCGCCGCTACGTGGCCGACCACGCCGCCGAGGTGCGTGCGAGCGGCGGCGTGGAGCAGCTGCGCGACTTTGGCGTGGCCAAGGGGCTGCTCGGCGACGCGCTCGACCAGGTGGCGGAGCTGAAGAAGGGGGCACTGCGCGTGGCAGCGGACTGATGCGGCCCCTTTGTGAGTGCGCGCACCGCGCCAATACCTGCCACTACCTGCATAGATTTCTGCCCGCTGCGCCTTCCGTGGTTCCGTCTGCACACACCACGCAGCGGCTGCTCACGTCTCTGTCAGCTGGGCCCTGGCGCCTGGGCGCCGTCGGCCGCGGTAGAAGCTAGTATACGTAAGGACTCTACGTTACGAGTTTTGTATATTGCCCAAATGTTTTGTCATGTGTGTCTGGAAGACTCGCGCCGCGTCTGGATGTGGCTCTCTCGCGGCGCTCTGCGCGGCGTCTGATATGTGGGGTAATGTGGCGTCTAGCACGTGCCCTCCAGCGCCCTCCACCGGGCAGCGCGCGTCGCGAGCTGCGCGAGCGCATCAGTAGTGCCGCGACTTGTGGTCCGTCGTCGGGCCTGCGCCCAAAGCCCCTCCCGCACCAGCAGCGCGATGCGCGTCAAAGTCTTCCCAGACCTTGGCGGCGCTCAGGCCCTGCAGCTTGCCGATGCGATAGAGCCGGAAGCCCGCGGGCATCGCGCGGCTGAGGGCCTCCGCGCCGGCGGCGCCGAGGCTCGCGCGCGCGCTGAGGTAGCGCGAAAAGTAGCAGAGCGAGTGCTCGAGGTCGCACGCGGCAAGTAGCCGCGGCGTGCCGTCCGCCTGCTGAAGGTACGGGAAATCCGGACCGTACTTTGCGAAGCGCTCCTGCTGGTGCTGCTGCAGCCAGCGGATGCCCGCGAGAGTCTCGCCGTCGGCCGTGCCGAAGAGCTTGTTGCACGAGGACACCGGCCCCGGCCCGTACGCGCACCAGTCGCGCATCGAGGCCGCGGCGAAGCTGGGCGTGAAGCACGCGGCCGCCTCCCCTCCAAAGACCCCGTAGAGGACCTGGAGCAGAGCCTGCGCGCCCGTGTAGCCGCCCACCCCCGGTAGCGTCTGGACCGTGAGATTCGCCTCCTGCCACGTGCTGCTGCCACGCACCTGGGCCGCAACCTCAGCAAAGCGGCAGCACGCCGCCGGATCAGCAGACGCCTCGCTGCTCGATGCCGGGCGCAGCCACTGAGCGAGGTACTCGATCCACCGGAAGCCCTGCGTCTGGAAGCCCGCATCCGAAAAGAGCTTGATGCCCTTGAATCCCGCCTTCTGCTGCTTCTTCTGGTACGCGCCGATGAAGCGCCTGAGCTTTGCGAGCTCCTCAAGGGTGCACGGGTACTCGAGGCATCAACAGAGTAGAAGGATCTGACCTCAGGGCCGATGTGACCAAGCGCTGGTACCGTGGTTTTACCTCCCACCCATGGTCTCACAGTGTGCCGGCAGTCGCCGAGCAGTGTCGCTCACACAAGCCGCAGCACAAGTGACTGAGGGCCAGTGAGGGCGAGCCCATCGCTGTCACAGCTGTGGCAGCCGCACAGTAGGCTGTGTCAACTGTGCAGAGTGTGTGAGCAGCAGAGGAGCTGCTCTCCAGGCTTCTGTCGCAAAGAGCTGCATGCCACCGAAAGCGCTGTCGAGGTTCGCCGAGCGCGGCGCAGGTTGGAGGAAGCCGTCACCGACGAGTGCGTTGGAGTATTCACTCCGGACAAAGACGGGGACACAGCGGACGGTGCGGGGTGTGTCCCCGTCTTAGCGGCGAGGCGCGGGACCGTCTGTGGCGAGGTGGGTCGCGTCCCCCGATTTCCGGGAACCCAGGTCCCAGCATCCACACCCCGTATGAGAATGTCTCAAGATTAGCGTGTCAGAGTGAAAATTGTGGAACTAGCCATGCCTAAAGCCAAGTAATTGTATCACAGCGCTATCACGTACACATGCACACCCGCGCTCCACTATGACACGTACAAAGGGAGTGAGCGTTCTCCTAAATCCATGCCTAAATCATACACGGCGCCCTCTCACTCAAAGAGGGCGGCGCAGCGGACAATCATGGCCACTCGCGGCGGCGCGTCCGGCGCGGTGTCGGGCAGCGGGTCGAAAGCCGCGTGGAAGGTGAAGCGCGGCTCGTCGGCTCGGCCGTCGTACGTGTAGAAGACGAGGGCCTCGTCGCGCGTCATGCGCGGGAAGTAGCTCCACCGGTGCGCCGGCGAGTAGTGCAGCGAGAGGTTCATGCCCATGCGCCGCTCCGCACGGCCCTCGCCGCCCTCGACGAGGTAGTACACGCCTACGCGCTGAATACACCAACAACCTCGAAGGATGCGGGTTCGTGCAGGGTATAGAGCGCTGTGCGAACACGATGGATACAGTTGAATACAGTTGAATACGTGTCCTCTCGAGCGCTAGTTGGAGTACAAGAACGCGTATTCCGCTTCTAGGAGTACACGCCGACGTCGTCCGGGGCGACGCTGCCCACGTGGCAGAGCGCCAGAGGCTTGCTCCGCACGGCCTCGCTCGACACGTTGCGCCACACGTTGAGAATCGCCCCGCGGCGCATCGTCCTCGCGCGCGGGGGCAGCACGCCGCACTCGCCGAGCTCCTAGCAGTGGCGAGCAACGGCTCAAACAAGCAAGGCCCCGCTCACGACATCGCCTCGACGCCAGGCTCCTGCAGCATCTGAGGGCCGGACGCGGCCGTGTAGTCGCCGTGCACGCGCTCTACGGCGCCTCCGCGCTTGCCGAAGCGGTCGCGCGCCTGGCTGGGCGGCGGCGGCGGCGGTACGTCTTCGGCCCCCCGCGGGAAGCCCCGCGCACAGCACAACAACGTCTGTCCCACACACGCACAGACACACACATACCTGGTTGGTTGGTAGTCGAGATATGAACAGAGCCTCGAGGCTTCGCGGGTCGAGGTTTGGGGCGACCCTCTACCCGTCCTACCTAACCATCACCGAATACCGCGCGCCGTGTCGATGCGTACGTGGTGGAAGGGCACCACGAGGTCCGCCCGCGTCGCCCGCTGCACGAGCCGCGCGGTCTGCGCGAGGTACGCCTCAAGCTGCGCGGCGTCGTCAAGGTCCGTGGCGACGCACCTAATGGGATCAATGACCAATTATGAATGAGAATTAACGCGGCGTCGTCCCGCGCGGCGCAGCGCACGGCGAGCGACAGAGCTCGAAGCCGTGCGAGTCGAGGGTCGGCGGCTCGGCGCATGTCCGGCCGTCCTCCACGTCCACCAAACGTGTGTCGTCCTCTTCGTGCAGCGAGTCGACGGGGTGCGGAAAGTGGGTGGAGGAGGGCCAGATTGGCGCGATCCTCGGCCAGATGGACGGTTCCATCAGCCGGCCACTGTGACGGCCAGCGGGCGGCTTGGCCGGGTACGTGATGGTGCTCGCCACCATGGCAGCGCCGAGCCCGTCCGCACCCGACGGCATCTCGACGGTAAAGAAAGACTTGTGACGCCGCGTTATGGCGGGCGTCGCGCCGCCCTGGAAGCGCGCATGCCACTCGGGTTTGGGCTCGGCAGAATCAATCGACCACGCGTAGACGTCGCCCAGCGGCCCCGGCCACGCGCCACCGCTCTCGCCGGCGTACTTCCTGTAAACCTCGCTGCCGGGCGGCACTTGGTGACGCGACACGTCCGACTCGAAGGCTTGTCGATTCTCATAGGGTGCCGTGCCGCCGGACAACTGGACGACGCCGAGCACAGAGAAGCCGCCCGCACCGGCCGGTAGCGCGTCGGGCAGGGGCGCGTTGCTCGGCCGCGCGAGCAGCACGACATTGCGATTGGCGTATTCCGACGGCAGCGCGAAGTCCCTCACTGAGAGTTTTTTCTCGCCGCCAAAGAGTGACGCGCTCGACGACTCGAAGACTTCGAGGCCCAGCATCGTGGCGAGGCCGCGTCGTATCGGGAGCATTGTTCTAGTGGGTCGCAGCATTCTCGGAGCATTCATCTACCCGTGAGTCCACGAACGGCTGACTGGCCCGGGCCCCGGGGGGGGGGGGGGGGGCAGCCGGCCCGCTGTGAACCTGAGGGGCCTCGGTCTCGCGGAGCAGCAATAGCAGACAGCAATAGAAGAATTTTACAGGGGGAAGCAGCACTATCGAAGCGGCGAGAGACTGCGAAGAGAGATAGGAAGAGGCAGACTCCCTAGGGTGGGCGACGGCTAGCGCACCACACACCTCTCCTTAAAATCCCTGTGTGGTGGCGGCGTGCCGTCCTCCCATCCCTCCCTTGGGTTGTCTGTTTTCTTTCTTTCTTTCTTGCGACCCAGCCCTAGCTTGGGATGTCGTTGTATTTATTTATTGCGCGCCAGTCCTGTGCCGACGCCAAGTTTAATTCTTTTTTGGGCGCCGACAGCCATCTGGACCCAGCCACTTGGGTCCATGCTTCCCTCAGACGTGTCCGACGACGACGTCGAGACCCTGCGTAGCATCGTCGGCGACGATCTCCCAGAGTCGACGCTGCGCGCGCTGCTCCTGCGGTACGATGCTGAGTACGTCTCCGCCGGACTTACTTCCGTCAACTCAGCATCCACACCCTCTAGGAGAGCTGAGCCCCTGGCCCCCCTGCCCCTAACTAATTTTTGTGCCTTGTAAGGCCCCTCCCCCGGACCCCACAATGCCTAATAAACCTCCCCCCGGACCCCAGTCCCCACAAGGCCTGAAATAGGTGGTATAGACAACCCCCCAAAATCCACCGGTGGGATTTCGCGCAATCGCTTGACTCTGAAAAGCTCGCATGTACCTCCTGCGAGCGCTGTGATCGCCGCAGACTGGCTCCGACTTGACGGGCGCATGGAGACGTGATGCCTCCATGCGCCCGTCGCGTCGAAATCGACATGTGAGTCGATCTTTGGCCCGCCAGAGGTACATGCGGCGTTTTGGGCGACAACAGCGCTGCGACCGCGAAGTGGCGGTGGACATGCTCCCATGTTGCCGACGCGGCGCCGGAGTGGCCGGCGCTGCTCGCCGCGACCACGACGGCTACTCTGATACTCCGGGCCGACCCGTCCTACCCGACGGTGGCACTCTTCCACGTCTCGCTCACGCTGAGAAAAATTCTGAAACGGCGTGCAGCAGAGTCACCGACGAGTCGGTCCGCGTGACTCCTCGTGTCCCGCACCGTTCTCACACATCCATAAACTCACTTTGGCCTCACTGAAGCAAGCCCTCAATCCTGAATCCTCAGATTTTAGATTAGGACGCTGTCGACCCTCTACCTGAAAACCCCCCAAGCCCAACCCAGAGTAATATGCCTTAATAGATAATACCCCTCTACAGTCTACTGTAGTATATGTGAGGTCTCTGAGGTGGGCGTGCGCCCTGCTTTACACAGCGCCCGGGGACCCAACAGCTGGGGACCCCTCCCTCTACTCTCGTTATCAAAGCTCATCCATTCCGCGAAAGGAATTCGAGCGCGCGATGCCGTCCGCGCCGATCACGGGGAGTCGCATCTGAACGGGGACAGGCCGGGAAAACGCTCGGTAGCCGTGTGGAGGCGGCGTCGCAGTGTCGCAGTGTGGCGCAACCACCACGTGGTGAGAGACGGCTAGGGGCAAATTTCACCGGGACCGGTGACGCCGCATCGTTGGTCCGCGAGGTGGGAGAGAGAATCTTCACGAGGGATTGCAGCGCGTTGGGCGCCTATGGGCAGCAGACAAAGCCGTCACGCGGGAGAGGCCCCCCATGGACAGAGAGGGAGGAGAAGGAGAGGGAGAGGGAGAGGGAGAGGGAGAGGGAGAGGGAGAGGGAGAGGGGGAGGGAGAGGGGGAGAGAGGGGGAGAGAGAAACGCCGTGCCTCTTCGCTCAGCGACGGAGACGGCCCGAGGCGCCGTTGCAAGGCCATCTGCACCTTGTGGGCTGACGAGCTAGACATGGAGCCAGACTCGGGCTCCGCGCGCAAAGGCGCATCCGCACCCTCGACGACGGGCGACGCCACCGCCCGAGTCCGGACCTCTCCGTTGGCGGGCCCACCAGAGCCAAAGCCGTTCGGTGCACGAACGGCCTCGCCCGATGCCTCCTGCTCTCCCTCGCGGCCTCCTGCTCCTCCCGCCTTCCCGCCGGCCTGCCCGCCGCCCTCGCGCGTCGGCGACGGCTCCCTCGCCGCCTCCACCAGCCGGTGCGGCTTCCTCGCCCGCACCTCGTCCATCCGCCGCCCCGCCTACACACCCGCAGCGCAGCCAGCCGTGAAGAGACGCCGTCCACACGACGCTCGCCCTCCCTCTGCCTCTCGGCCCGGTCTCGCCTTTACGCACCAGCAAGCCGCGGCGTACCAGCAAATGGCCAGCACCACGCCGGCTCCCGCGAGCAGCGGCATCGGCACGCCACGCCACGAAGCGGCAAGCGACGGACGCGCCGCCGGCGCAAAAGGAGGCGGTGCCGAGGTGGGCGTCGGCGTGCACGGCGGCAGAGCGGGGGTCATGACGGAGCTCTGCATACACCGCCATCGTCGCGACCGAGCGTGCTGGCGGTAGACGCAAAGCGCGCAGCCGAAACTGCAGAGGAGGGGGGGTGCGCCGGATGTCGGCGTCTCTCTCAATCTCGGCAAATCTCGGCAAATCTCGGCGAGTCTCGGGGCGAGTCTCTCATCCGGACTCGGATGCTCTGTGCGTGCCTGCAGTCGGCGGGGTAAGCGCTTCCCACCGGCGGCGCCTAGAGACGTCGTGTCGAGGGACGTGTCGGGGGGCGTGTGGGGGGGGACGGGGTCGGAGACGAGTTCGATGCGGCTCCTTGGTGGGGTCGACGTACCGCCCGACGCACGCCGCGCGCTCCTCCTCCCGCGGCGAGTCGGCACCAGACTCGTTGGCGAGCAAGCAGCCGTCGTACCGGCCGACTCCCAGCGCGCCAGTGAAGCGCCTCCGGCCGCTCATCTCCACCTTTGCGAGGCACCCCGACGGCGCAGGCGGCGGGAAGGCGGGGGGGGGCGGAAGCGGTGCCAGCGGCCTCTCTTCCGGCGTGCACTCGCTCTGCGACCAGACGCCGCCTCTCCACTCGCCCTTGCGCCACCGGCAGCGGGCGAAGCCCTCGCAGTCGCGCTCGGATCCGAGAAGGTCGCACGGGGGAGGCGGCGGCAGCGGCGGGGGGAGCGGCAGCGGCGGGAGAGGCGGCAGGTAAAGGTCGGCCGGGTCGGGCACCGTGTCCTTCTTCAGAAAGTCGAACGGGTGCACCTGTGAAGGACGGGGCTCCGAGCAGGCTCAGGGGAGAGGCTCGGGTGCGGGCTCCTGCGTCCCCGAAGCGGTGCACGCGCCGGCGGCGACTGCGGCGAGGGCGGCGGCGGAAACGAAGGCGGCGGCGGAAGCGAGGGCGGTGGAGGCTCGTCGGGAGGCGCGTCGGGCGGCAACGGAGAGGGCGGCGACGGCGGTGGCGGTTGTGAGGGCGGCGGCAATGAGGGCTGCGGTGGCGCCGGCGGCGGCGAGGGCTGCGGCGGCAAGGGCGGCGGCGGAGGCGAGTTGGGCGAAGGCGACGACGGCGGCGGTAGAGAGGGGGGAGGCTGCGACGGCGGGGTCGAGGGCAGTGGGGGCGGAGGCGGAGAGGGCGGAGGGGCCGACGGCGGCGGCGGTGGCGAGGGTGGCGGCGGTGGCGGCGGTGGCAAGGGTGGCGGCGAGGCGTCTGCGAATGCGGCAGAGGCATAGCGGACGGCGACTAAGTCTGCGCAGAACGGGGCGAGGGAGGCGTAGCCGAGCAGCGGCGGCGTCTGTGTGGGCGCGGCGCCGACGAAGCACGACTCGATCGTCATCGGCATGAAGGAGCGGTACACCAATGCCTTCTCCGAAGTCCACCTGCGGGGAGGGGTGGGCGCGCGTCGCTCGTCGCTAGCCGTCGAGCGGTGCGCGGCGGGCCCCTTCCAAGAGGCGTGCGTGCCGGCTGGTGGAGTCGATGCAGTTCAGCTTGTTCGAGTCTGCGACCAGCCTGTCGAGAGTAAGCTGGTCGCCCACCGCCTGCGCGGCCCAAAGGGGAAGGGAGGTCCGCAGCCGTGCCGGGGGTGGCCCGTCTGCTTCTCCACGCCCCCCAGTGTGTACACAGTGTGCGCCAGGGGGGGGCGAGCGCAGGGGGGGGCGAGCTGGGCTGCCGCTACTGTAAGCCCCCGCCTGGTCGAAGGAGGCACAGTGCACCTCGACGGCATCCCCCCACACGGTGAGGCCTGTTCACAGCTAGAGGTGTGAAAAGACGCTGTTCACAGCACCTCGACGGCATCCCACACGGTGAGGCCGAGCTGCGCGCGCGCAAAGTCGGCGAGCCGGAAGCGCGCGTTGTTCATCCTCGCGTCCTGCACCGACGCAGAGTAGAAGGAGGCGCCCTCGGCGAGGGCGCACCTGCGGGAGATGCCGCCGAGATCAGGACAAGACGCCGCCGGGACAGAGAGGAGGCGCCCTCGAGGCGAAGCCGCGCGCTTGAACGAGCTCTTGTCCAGGACCGCCTCGAGAAAGTTTGCGCCTAAGAGACGACACGCCGCGACTCGGAGACAGACGCTCGGGCTCGCCCGGCGCCTCTAGAGAGCCCGTGCCACGGGCGACGGAGCCGTCGAAGGAGGCGCCTAGGGACGAGCCAGCCGAGGTGAGCCGAGGTGAGCCGAGATGGCGCGTCAAGGCGTGCAGCCGGAGGAGGAGGCGCCGATGAGCGACGCCCAGCGGAAGTCCGCGCCGGAGATGTCGGCTCCCTTGAAGGACGGCGCGATGAGGTGCGCAAAGACGAACTTTGTCTGGCGCAGGTCGGCGCCGTCCAGCACCACATTCTCGCCGAAGAGCTGGAAGAAGGCGATGCCGGCGGCGCGGCAGCCGCTCAAGTCGGAGGCTGCGATGTTCACCTCGTAGAGCTGGGCGCCGCAGAAGTTGGCGCCTGCTCGCAGCTGGCACGTGTGAAGAGACGCTCTTCACAGCCGCGCCGCCGGAGAGAGGGCGGGGGTCGGCGCGTCGCATCTTGACTGCCTCGAGGTGCATCACGTTGACCACGACCGACTGGCGTCCGGCGTCGGGAGGCGTCGGTCAGATTTCGGTCAGACCTCGGTCAGATCTCGGTCAGATCTCGGTCAGACCTGGGCCGGATCTCGGCCGGATCTCGTTCAGATCTCGTTCAGATCTCGGCCGGATCTCGGCCAGATCTCGGCTGCGTCTCGGCTGCGTCTCGGCTGCGTCTCGCGCCTGCAGGGAGGCTCCGTCGAGGACGGTGTCGACTAGCCTCATCTCGAGCAGCGAGGAGAAGGCGAGGTCGAGGAGCGGCGCGTCGACCTACAGGAAGGCAGGGAGGCTCTCCGCAGGCTCCCCGCAGGCGAGGTGTGGCGGCGCAGGGTAGGGCGGCGCAAGGCACCTTCTGCAGCGTGACTCGCTCGAGCTGTGCATGCTTGAGCGACGCAGAGTAGAGGGAGCAGTCGAGGAAGGCGACGTCTGCGAGGGTGGCGTTGTCGAGGAGCAGCGACGGCGCGTGCATGCCTGCTCACAGCTCGGGCGAATGGAGAGGACTGGCTGCGCGGTCCGTGAGCGGCGGCCGACCACGCGCCGTGGATCGACGCGCCCCGGATCTCACCAGACGTCCAGTTTGCCCGCTTGAGGACCGTGCTGGTCAGGTCGCAGCCGAGGCACCTGCAAGGGGGGGGGCGGGGGGAGGGGCTGGCCGACTCCGCGCCACTCAGGCGCGCGGCTCCGCGGTCGCGCCTCGCTCTGCTCATGCTAGCTCCAGACAGGTCGCTCCTCTCCATCGCCTGCGAGGCGAGCAGCGGGTGCGAGCAGCCGGGCGCGAGCAGCGGGTGGCGCGTGGGACTCACACAGGGCCGGGGCACGCTGTGGCGAGAGGGTGCGCGGGGCGGGAGCTAGGGCAGCGCGAGCGCCACCTCGTCCTCGGCACATCTCGGCACATCTCGGCATCTCTCGGCATCTCTCAGAACCACCGTCTGGTCGAGCGACACGTTGTCGAGTCTCGCGCCGCGCGCATCCACCGAGTCGAAGAGCGCGAGCCCGAGGTTGACGTTGGTGAGATCCGCCCCGCGCAAGCTCGCCCCCGTCAGCGTCGCCTGCCCCAGCCTCGTCCCCCGCAGGTACGCGCCGTCGAGAATCGCATTCAAGAGTGTCGCGCCCGTCAGGTCCTGATTCGACATGTCGGCGTTCGCGAAGTCGCAACCGCTCAGGTCGCGCCCCGGGCCGATCGCGCACGGCCCGCTGCCACCGGATACGGGCTTCCACCCTGAAGTTGGTCGCGGTGACGGAAACGGCGGCGGCAGCGGCGGCGGCAGCAGCGGATACGGCGGAGGCGGCATGGTGCGGTACTGCGCGGCGGCGGGGCAAGCAGAGAGTGCCACAAGCAGCGCATGCGGCCCGGGATGCGGCCGCATGTCCACAGGTGTCGGAGGTGGACGAACGCCGAGTCCAGGCGCCATTCACATGAACGGACAACCCCAGTCCCGAAATCGCGCACAGAGAAATCCGGATACAAGACAAGAACACAACGCACTCTCTCACGTTACAAGGGCGCTGACAAACTAGGAGCGTGCGCCGTACAGACGCAGAGGAAGAGGAAGGGAAGTCGAGGGGCGCCACACACGAGGGTGGACAGCATGGTGCAGCTATGGCAGCAGCCAGATTTTTGCGCATCTGCGCCGCCAGCCGCGCCGCACTGCGGCGCAGCCGCCGCCGCAGCGAGCGAAGCGGCGACGAGCAGCGCGCGCGCGCGCGGCGGCGGCCACCGGCCAGCCGTCGCGAGCCAGCCCGAGGCCGGCCTCGACCGGCCGCGCAGCCGCCCGCCCGAGGGCGAGCATGGGAGCGGCCAAACTTGGAGACACAGAGACAGTCACGCAACACGGCCAGGGAAGGCGAGCAAAAACCTTATCGCGCGCGCTAGTAGCCGACTCGGAGGCCGCCCTTCACACGCCAACAAAAACACAACACAAGACCGTCGACGCGTCGAGAAGAGGGAGACAGCGACACAGTCAGCGCCCTTCACGCAAAAACACAACCGCGCCGCTGTGGCCCAAGAACAGGACGCACACGCACAGAAACCCCTACCTAGGCACCAGGGAGAGAGAGATTTATTCTTCTTGGCACCAGTCGACAACACAACACACACACATTTTTTTCTCCCTCCCTCCCTCCCTCTCCTTCCCTCTCTCTCTCTCTCTCCCTCCTTCTCTCTCTCTCTCTCTCTCTCTCTCTCTCTCTCTCTTTTTCTCTCCCTCCCTTTCCTTTTCCCTTTTTCCCCCCCCCCTTCCCCTTCCTTTTCCTTTTCCTTCCCCCCCCCCCCCCACCTCCCCCCTCCCTCTCCCCTGCTCTCCCCCAGTCAGTCGAGGGAATACGTGGGAATTGACAACCAGAGAGATCGACCGTGGTTAAATGCAGAACCCCGCCCGCCAGTCACGCAAAAGAGCAAGGGCCCTAGCAAGATCACACAGAAAAGCAAAAAGGCCACACAACGCTGGGTACTGGCGAGGACCACACAAGTCAGAATGCACTACTTGGGGAACTGACCGCATCATGGCGGACTTCCGCAACCTCTGCGAGCTCCTCGTCTGACGGGTCTCGCTCCGCACCGAGCTCTTCTTGCCGGACCAGAGCTCCGTACCAGCCCTCCAGCGAGATAGGAATGAGTGCATCGCTTTGACGGATCGACCATACTTTGTCGTCAAGACTGATATGACGTACACAGTGACACATCAGACGACACATGTTTTCCCACCCGCCGGGCCGCAAAACGCTCTCGACGAGAGCCACAAGAAGCCGCCCACACAGCAAGCCGCTCTGTCGAACACGTTGCTCCCCAGGCGAGCGCAAGTGCACGCGGTAGATAGACGGTTGCGTAGGTAGCTAACATCACTGACGACGATCCGCTGGCGTGAGCAGCGATCACAATCGCTCCCCTTTTCCCTCGCCGCGTAACTTTGGTATTGTTGGGATCGAAGCCGTAACTTGCGCCCCTTTTGACAACTTTTAATTTGTTGCGTGAAACCCTGTTTCAGTGTATGTGGCTCTTACGTACATTCCCGTAGGAGGACTCTGCTGACAGGGTTTGCGATGAGGTTTTTCTAAAAAGCAGGAAATGAAAGAAAGAAAACAGCCAAACAACCCAAAGGAGGGATGGGAGGATGGCACGCCGCCATCACACAGGGGAAAAAAAGAAAGAAACAAACAAAACGGACAACCCAAGGGAGGGATGGGAGAACGGCACGCCGTCACAGGGGAAAAAAAGCACGATTCTGAGCCCTCTGATTTCTTTTTTGAGCCTGCGCCAGTCCGCGCCTTCCCAAGCCGACTGGACGCTCCATCTCATTCAGTCCCACCACGGCTGTGTCTGAGCCTCGTCACCCCTTGAAATGGACTCGGCTACATTCGACGACCTGGCGACCTGGCTTGGCGAGCTCAGCCTTGACGAGCGGGCCGCCGTTCTCTCCGTCACTGATCCACTTCAGCTTGCTGCTCTGGCGGTCTGCGTCGGCCACTCTCGCGACGCGAGCCAGCAGAGCGGGCAGCAGGATCAAATCCCGATCGCTCTCTTCGAGTGGCCGTGGCTCGAGGCACAGCTCTCACGCCGGCGCCGTGGCGGCACGTCGCGGCGCGCCGAAGCGGGTGAGGCGGAGGAGGAGTCGGGTGAGGCCGCGGGACCAAGCGGGCCGGAGCTGGACAGGTGCATTGACGGCAGCCTCGAGCTGCTGTCGCACGCAATCGCCTACGGCCCAAGGGAGGAGGCTGCCCTTGGCGAGGCGCCCTGGGGCGGAGTGGGCCTTCGCCGGTCGGCTCTCGAGGAGGCGCTTGTCCTCACAGCTCTAGCCTCGCCATCAATCCCTAATCCTCATCTCTCTCTCTCTCTCTCTCCCTCTCTCCCCCCTCCACCCCACCCCTCTCACCGGCAGCTCTGATCCCTTCCGCAGCCGCGCCGGCTGCTCGGCCTCCTGTGCGCGCCCTCGGCGGGCGCCTTCTTGGCCGATCCGCTGCCACCGCCTCCACCGCCCGGCAAGCTGCGGCTCGGCTGCATCGGCTGGCTGCGCCGCCGGTCGCTGCTCGACTCGGGTGCAATCCTCGCGGGCTGGCTCGAGGCGCGGGAGATCGCGGAGACGCCGCCGAGACACATCGGAGAAGCAGCCGAGACGCCGCCGAGATGAAGCGCCGAGATGGAGCGCCGAGATGCAGCCGAGACGCAGCAGCCGAAATCGCCACCCTCTTTCTCCTGGCCCTCGAGGTGCGTCTTCGGGCGGCGCACGCGCGGCGGCTCGAGGGCGGACCCGAGGCGCACCTCGTGCAAGAGAGCTTGCACCGCGCCGTCCGGCTGCGGCGCTACCTCGCCGCGGCGCCTCAGGCGCGCATCTAGCCGCGAGCACAGCCAAGACGCAACCGAGAGACAGCTGAGAAGACAGCCGACACATAGCCGAAGGCACTTGCGAGGTTGCGGCAGAGACGGCCGAGAGGCAGCCAATAGAACAGCCAAGATGCGTCCGAGGCGGACAACAGCCGAGAGGGCAGCGGAGGTTGGCGGCTCAGGCGCGGCGGGACGCGATCAAGGACGAGGCGGTGGCTGCCGGCGCCGCGGTGTGCGCGCGTTTGCCTCACGAGCTGCTCGGAAAGAGCGGCGGCGGCGGCGGCGAGGAGACGGAGGACGACGACGACGGGGCATGGGTCGAGCGGCTCGTCTGCATCCCTCTGCGGGTTGGCCTGGGGCGGGAGGTTGCGCGGGGCGTGGCGCGGATGGTGAGGCCGGTCGAGAGGGCGGTGGCGGCGGAAGAGGAGGAGGCGCGTCTGGCCGCATTGACGAGGGGCGACACGCTCGCGCCCTCCCTTCGAGAGACCCGGCACGCGGCTTGGGGTGTAGGCGCTGCTGGTTGAGCTAGGGGGCGGCGAGGGCGGCGAGCGGGCGGCAGCGGCTCAGCGAGGAGGTGGTGCGGCAAAGAAGAAGAAGAAGAAGAGGCGCGGCGGAGGCGCGGCCGAGCAGGCAGGCTGCCCAGAGGGGGAGCAGTGCGCCGCGGCGGCTCGAGCGCAGAAGCCGGCCGAGTTGTGTCGCGCGGCGGTCGGGCGGATCGACTGCAACGGCGACGTCGACAGCGCGCAGAAGGACGCCGAGGTGAACTCTCCCTCGCCGCCGCCGCCGGAGCCGCCGCCCTTGGCTGCGGCGCCGCCGTCGCTGTCCAACAAGAGAGTGCGCCGGTTCGTGCGGGAGATTGTGGCTGGGCTGGTGGAGGCGGCGGCAGAGGAGGGCGCGAGAGGCGAGCAGAGCCGCGTGCGGGCGCAGGCGCGCGAGGCAAAGAAGGCGGAGCGGCGGCGGCGCAAGGAGGAGGCGGCGGCCGAGGCGGGGGCGGCGGGGGCGGGGGCAGGGGCGGAGGCGGGGATGGGCTCGTGGCTCAGCGCCGCGGTGCGCGTGCCTCTGCGACGAGGCTGCAGCGTTGCGTGACGAGACTGCAGCGTTGCGTGACGAGACTGCGATAGGTCCGCGTCCTCCTCGACGAAGTGGAGTCCACCGCCGCCTCTGCGACCGAGGAGGAGCGGGCGGCCCGCCGGTGCGTCGCCATTGCCGCCGCCGAGGCGGAGCGCGCTCGGCGAGCTGCCGCGTGCGGTGTGAGTGCCGAGGCGTGAGGCGAGAGACGAGCGTGCCGTGACTGCTGCAGGCGCGTCGAAGAGCTGATGGACGCCGAGGCGGACGAGGCGCGCCGGAGGGCCGTGGCGAGGGCAGCCGCCGCCGACGCGGCGGAGGGGGAGCGGCGGCGGCGGATCTCGATCATGCAGCTCGAGGAGCTGGAGGAGATTCGGCTGCGGCGGTGGATGCAGCGCGCCGCGATCGCCGCGATGGAGCGCGAGCGCGAGCGGCGCGTCGAGGAGAGGGAGGAGCTGGAGTCGGAGGGCGCGTTGGCAAACTCGATCGCCCGCCGCCGCGCACAGCACGTCGCCAAGGCACGAGACGAGACGAGACGAGACGAGACGAGGAGCTCCGCTCGTGCGTCCGTTTTGCATCTCCTGACGCGCCGCCCCCACACTCTCCGCAGGCTGCCATCGAGGCTGAGCGCGCGAGGCGGCTGAGCGTGCTGCGGCTGGTGCAGGCGCAGACCGACACCAAGCGGGCGGCGAGGAGGGCGGTCGCCGTCGCGGCGATGGAGGAGGAGCGCGCGCGCCAGCTGTATGCGTCTGCCGCGTCCGCGTTCCTCTCGGCGTCCCGCCGCCGCCGCTGCAGCGGCAGCCGTGTCCTGTTCCCTGTTTCGGCACAGCCGTCCCGCACTTGGCCATAGGCGACGGCCTCGCGATCTGGCACTCCGCCGCTCGAGCACCAGCGAGGGCCCCTTCTGAGGAGGGCCGCACCCGCTTGCGCCGCCGCGGCCGCTGTCGCGGCCGCCGCCGAGGCGGCCGAGGCGGCGGCGGCCGAGGCCGGGCAGGGTTGCAGCTCGGCGAGTGACGACGCCGATAGCGACGCAGGCGAGGGGGCCGACGGCACGGGCGGTATCACCGGCCTGCTGGGCGCGTCGCCGCGGCTCGGGACGGGCCTGGCGCGGCGGCAGTGGGCAGCCTTTGCCTCCGGCGTCGGGCTGCGGCTGTCCGAGGAGGAGATGGAGGAGAGGGCGCGGCGGCGGCGGCTGGCCAGCGACGCGGCGCGCGGCGCTTCTGCACGCGCCGAACGACTGGGTCGCATCTCCGCCGGCGTGGAGGCGTGGGCTACCGCGACACAGGAGCGCACCGCTCTCTCTCGGCCGCTGCACCCGGCTGGTGGGGCGACGCGGTCCCCCGACGCGCCCGCGCGGTTGCAATAGGAGTCGCTCTCGCCGCTGCACGCGTGGGTGGCTCGCTCGCGCGCGGCGCTGCAGGTGGCGGCGGCGCGGATCTGGCCCGACTGCACGGTCGAGGTGTACGGCTCGTGGGCGGCGGGGCTGCAGGCTTCGGCACCAGTGCCCGACCCCACCGTCCATGCGTGGTCCTTGACCGTTTTGCGGCTGTTGTCGGCCAGGCGCACCACTCGGATGTGGACTTGCTCGTGCGCGGCGCAGAGCCTGGCAGCTGCGCCGGGGGCATGGTCGGCGCGTTGCGCGAGTTGGCGGCGCTTCTGGAGGGGGAGGAGTGGATCTCCCAGCCGACCCTCGTGAGCGCGCGCGTGCCGCTGATCAAGGCTTTCGCGCCGCTGCCGCCGCACTTGGCGCCGCTGCCCCGCTCCGGCCGCCTCGCCCTCGACATCTCTCTCGACGACGGGGGGCACGCGGGCGCCTCGTCCACCGCCTTCACCAAGGACGTGCTCCTGCCCTCTCTGCCCGCGCTGAGGCCGACCACGGCTCGTGCTCAAGGCGCGGAAGCGTCGACGCGTCCGAGACGCGTCCACGACTCGTCCCTCAGGCCGCTCGTGCTCGTGCTCAAGTCGCTGCTCGCCTCGCGCGGCTTGTCGGACGGGTACACGGGCGGGCTCACGGGCTACGCGATCGTCCTCATGGCGGCTGCCGTCCTGCAGCACCACGAGGCGTCGCTCGGCCGCGAGCGCTCGTTGGGCGTCGGCGCGGCGCTCGCGTGCTTCCTCGAGACGTACAGCCGCGACCCGCGCCACGCGCACGCACCGCACCGCCACGCCGTCCACGCCGTCACGCTCGACGCCGGCGCGCGGCTGCAGCCGACGGTGGTCTGCCGCTCGGACCCGCTGCTCGGCGGCGCGCCGTTGCTCGTGCAGGACCCGCTCGACGTCGAGAACAACGTCGGCGCCTCCGCCTTCAACTTCCCGTCGGTGCAGCGGCTGCTGCGCGAGGCGCTCGAGCGGCTGGACACGGCGAGCTGCTGCGCCGCCGGCGAGGCGGATGCTAGGGCGGATGGCGGCACCAGCGGCGCCGACGCGATCGCCCTGGCCGAGGCTCTCAGCTTGGACCGCCACGAACCTCAGGAGGGCGCCATGAGTGATTGCCCGAGAGGGTAGGCGGTGTGGTTTTTCGATAAAAGGGCAGCCCAGATTTCTTTTCGTCGTGCGAGGGTCGTCGCCGGTCGTGCCCCAGCTCCGCTCCAACGGAGCTCTGTCTCTGTGTTGCTCCGTGGGCGCCCTCCCCCCCGTTACCCCCGCGCTTCTCCTGCGGCCATGTGGCCGATGATACTAGTATGGCATTGGGAGAGGTCATCTGGCTACCGCGAGAGCGACCCAACTCGTCGACATCGTCCGATGATTGTGCCTCAAAGTCAGCCTCCGGAGGCTATCGTGCGGTCGAGGCTGACACATCGACCAGACATCGACCACACTGCGTCAACCCCCCGGGCGACGCGCGGCCTCGCTGGCTCTTGAGCGTGACGCGGGTACTGGAGGGCAACATGATGGGCGAGACTGACGTCCTGCAGCTGATCGGCCTCTCTTGGCGCAGCAACGAGGAGTACTTTGTCTACACCGCGCCGCCCTTTGCGACCGCCGCTGAGCGGCGGCGCGAGGCCCGCGTGCTCAACCTCTTCACGGACGCGATGTCTCCTGGCCTCGAGGCGCTCTTTGCCCAGGTGCCGCCGCGTACGCGGCCGATGTGCGGAGGCAGGCGAGCCGCCTCGCACGCATTCAGCAACAAGGCAGCGATGCCGAGGACGAGCTTGGGCTGCACCGGCCGAGGCACCGGGACCGGCGAAGGCACCATGGCGGGCCGAAAAAGAGAAACCCGCATGCCGCGGTTTCCCCTTAACTGCATAGAGGGGGGGGGTCGCGTAGAGACAAAATTATCGATTCATGATAGGGCCGCTCCCCGATCCCCGACCGCATGGTTGCGCTATGCTCAGCGCTTCCTCTCCTTTCGCCCGCATCACTGCATCCGCGGCCACCACCACCGCTCCCGCACACCTCGAGCTGGCCGCGGAGGCAGGCGCACGCACCTCGGCCTGGACGCGGACTGCTCGCTCGCCGCGGCGGTGACGGCGGCGAACGCGCGGGCGGGGCTCGCGGCCGAGGGCGGGCTGGTGGCGCAAGTGGAACGGCTGACGGAGCTGCTCTTTTGGGATGAGGCAGGCGGGGCGGCATGAAGCTTTCCGGACATGCGAGACGCGCCCAACACAGTGAAACCGTTTGTCTCGAGCGGAGCTGACAGCTGCGCTTGAGTTTGGGATGGGTGGTCGGGCACAAGCGAAGGGACAGGCGGGTTGACCTCATTGTTGTGACTTGTGTGTCGAGATTTATTTCTCGGGGGACACATGATGTGCAACACAATACACATTGCATGTATCCCGGACTGGGGGGAAACAACGCGCTCAGAGTTTTACTTATTTCTCGAGATACGTCGGGCACCGTCAACCACGCGCAGTCCGCAGACCGCGCAGTAATCTAGGAGAATATACATTGCGACACCGGCAGGCGACAGCTCGACTATGTGCACCTAAAAGGACACGACACAAACTATTCCTAAAAGAAAGGCCGCGCATGCACATGTGCGGCAGGCGAGCTCATCCCCCCCCCTCCCGCGAGCAGCTTCCCGGGAGGAAGGGCAACTGCCCGTCGGGACCCAAGGGGAGGGGCTCCTCCGCCTCCCGCCACGCGCCGATCTGCCGGGCGGCCTCGCTGCAGCCGACGGGCTCCGGCACGCCATACTCTGTGCGCAGGACCTCACTCTGCAGCACGGCCCGGTCCAGCGCGCTGATGGCGTCGGCGACGCGCGCGCCCGACGCCTCGTCGGTCGCGCGTGCGTGCGAGGCCTTCTCCTCCGCCGTCCACAGCTCCGCGCGGAGGGCCGGCGAGTCGAGTGCGTCGAGCGACACGGCGCCGGAGCGGACTGGCCCGCTCTCCCGGAGGGCGGCCCACCGCTCCGGCATCGCCATCCAGAACTCGTACCTGGGCGGTGGCAGGGCCGCGGTGGGCAGAGAGAGGGTGGCCGCGTGACAGGGTTGGTGTGAGTGTGACGGGGGCACAAGACGGTGGTCGGCGTGACGCGACTGCTGCGAGCCTCGCACCGCCGCAGGAAGGGCCACGCTCTCCCCATCGCCGGTCGTCCCGGAGGCGAGTCCTGCATCCCCTGCCCGACTGGCAGGCCCTCGCATCCAAAGGGCGGCTCGTCGAAGCTCTCCTCGACGCGGCAGTCCTTGTTGTACGTCACCGCCGAGTTGACCTGACGACCGAGACTGGGCCGAGGTTCGCCGAGAATGGGCGAGACTTGTCCTGCCGTGCAGCGCGGAAGCGGCACCGCGTTGTGTAGCTTCCACACAAACAGACAGAGCGAGTCGCCGTCGACCACCTGTGCAAGCGTGTCACGCTCATCGCTCGGATGTCGCTCGCGGCCCAGAGCGGGTCGCCGGCCACCGCCGCCAGCTTGGCCTATGCTCGCGGGGAGGTGTGAAGAGAGCGACACGCCGTGCCGCCCTCTGCCACCCGCCTGGCTTGGCCTCGAGCGTCGCGGCGCTGCGGTTGGCTCCGCCGGCGAAGAGCCACTCGAGCGGGTAGAGCGCGGCCTGCGACGGCGGCGGAGGGCGTGGCGAAGCGCACCTTAGCGGCTGTGAGTGCGGTGCCTGCGGTCTGTGTGTGTGTGTGTGCGTGCATGTGTGTGTGTGTGTGTGCGTGTGTGTGTGTGTGTGTGTGTGTGTGTGTGTGTGCGTGTGTGTGTGTGTATGTGTGTGCGTGTGTGTGTGTGTGTGTGTGTGTCTGCGGTGTGTGTGTGTGTCTGCGGGGTGTGTGTGTGTGTGCGGTGCGTGGCGTCTGCGGGCGGGGCGGTGGGCGCGCCTCCGACTCTGTGGCCTGCAGGGGCCCCTCGCGCAGCGCGCGCCAGTCGCGGTCATTCCTGCGGGTCGAGATCGGAGATCAGGCCGTGATCGAGGTCGAGCCGAGGTCGAGCCGAGGTCTGCCGCGAGCCGAGATCGGGCTGTGATCGGGCCGAGATCGGGCCGAGATCTCGGCCCGAAGTCAGCCTCTCCTGCTGACGCGCGAGATGAAGTGCTCGCGGCACTGCGGGCACGGGTGGCTCAGCGCGTAAAAGGCGAGCATCCTCTTGAACTCCGCCTGTCCACGGGGCGCGGGCTGTGAAGAGGCGCGGCTCACGTGTGAGCAGGGTGCCGTCGTCAACTCCGCCACGGCGGCGGAAGCGAGCGGCGGGTCGCAGGAGCGCTGCAGCTCGGCGGCGCGAGCGGCGATGGTGTGCCACAGCAGCCACGTGGGCGGTCCCTGGTAGTGCGGCACGCCTGCGCGACAGCGGGGCGGCTGTGAAGGCAGCGAGCAGCCGCAGGGCGGTCGGAGGCCGGGGTGTGGTGGCGCAGACCGACGCGGAGGAGGGAGCGGTTCATGTACGGGTGGGAGGCCGCGTAGGGCGGAGGCAGGGCGGGGCGGAGGAAGGGGACGTAGAGCGAGACGTCGAAGTCCTGCGACTTGAGGCTCGGCTGCTCGCGCTGCTTCTGCGTGCTCTGGAGATAGCCTGCAGGACATGTCTCGGACATGTCATGGACGTGTCCTGGACAGCACCTGTGTGCTCTGTGGAGGTAGCCCTGCACGAGGCGCCACACCCGCTGCACCAGCTCACTCTGCCCGAACACGTCCCGGATGTCCGCCGGGAGCAGCTGCCCCTCCTGCGGCGGCGCGAGGCCGCGAAAGCCGCAGCTGAAGGCGGCCGCGGCGGCGGGCAGGAAGGACTCCTCCCACCACTCGAGAGGGGGTGCGGTTCGGCTGGTCGCGAGCTGGGCGAGCAGCACCTGTTCACGGGACGCCGCCGTGAGGAGGCGCCGTGCGGGTTTCGCGGGCGCTTGGAGGACAGCGAGAGGTTGCATCACGCAGCGGGTCGACGAGGCCGCGGCAGCGCGTGAGCTGCAGCCCGTCGAAGAGGTTGAGGAGGGAGACGGTGTGTGCGACGAAGGAGGGGAAGCCATACGGTCGACCGGCTGGCGGGCGCAACTCGGCCTCGCCGCACCACGTGCGCCACGACTGGTACGTGCGGTACGCCATTGCGGTGATCAGTCGAAAGGCTGCAGCTTCATGAGCGTCGGCAGGGTCGGCAGGAGGGCAGCCAGCCGACCACATCGCGTTGCGAAAGATCTCACCCGCCGGGCACTGCACGTTGGTCCAGCCGTGTGGCACCTCCGCGGGCAGCTCACTCCATATATCGCGTGGCTGCGGTCCGGCGGTTGGTGCGGCGATCAGGCCGATTGCCACGCCAGAAGCGAGCGCGACCAGCGCCACGACCCACCCTGGCGCGGATTCGCGCCGCGAGTCGACCGCAGAGTAGTCGACAGAGGAGTGGTCGAGCATCGGGTGGGCAGGAAGCGTCTATGGGACCGCGGTGCGTGGCAGCTGGGCGGCTGGGGGTTCAGCCCCGCAGGATCGAGACCTCGAGAGAGAGAGCAGGTCTCCCTGATGGGATTTTTAGGTTTGTTGTTGGGAGGCCCCAGGGTGGGGGCCACCTCGAACCCCTATCCAGGGATTCGAGCGGAGGGTGCCCCGGATTCATCTATCCGTCGGCCCCGGTACATTCAAAGAACTGATCACTTTGCGCAGCAGCCGTCCCTTCGCCGACTGGACGGCAGTGCGCTGCGCTGTCGCTCTGTCGAGCACGCTCTCGTGCTTCGTTGTGACGCGGGAAGTAAAGTCGAGAGGCAGCCCTCGACGAGACGACCGGCGCCGCGATGCCGGACCTCGCCGTCGCCGAGCTCACAGCATTCCGGCCGAGCAGAACCCCGATCCCGCAAAGTCATTGGTGATGCCCGTCGTCTCAGCAGTGGTAGCCTCTACCCGGTGCTTCATTCCGTGGTCGGTGGTTGTCAATCCGCCCCCCCTCAATCTTCCCCCTCCTCCTCCAGGGATGCAAGCGTCGTGGGTCCAGATTCCGCAGTGGGCCGCCATCAGTGGCCTTCTCCCATTCTGTGAACCCGATCCCGCTGTAGCCATCTACTTTGACAGACTCAGCGTCCTACGGCTGGCCATCCTGGCCGCGTCGTGGCGCCGCATCCTCGGATCTCTGTCCGACCTCGGCGTGTTCGGCACAGTGCATGTGGATGAGGACGCTTTCCGGACGGCGTGCGCCCAGGCACTGCTCTCCCGCCAAATCCCCGTGCCCGAGCTCTTTATGCAGTGGGGCGATCTGGGGCACTCCGAGGCGATCGTACCCTTAGGACCAGTGCCGTCTGCAGAGGCAAAGACCGTCGACTTCCTGCAGTACATGACGGTCGGGGCTCTCTGCGACCCTACGGCCGACGTCCCGTTCGCATCCCTGTCTGACATGACCCGCTGCCTGGGGCCCGTCTTCACGGCAGCAGCACGCGTCGATCCCATGGGAAGCGTCGTCGTGGGAGCTGCATCGCTCGTCGCCGCCGCCGGCTACGTCACTCCGCGAGCGGGCGACAGCCATCCCGCCCTGCGGGGCTACCGCCCCGCACCCCGCCTGGGATGAATTCACACCTCTCAACAGCTGTTCACACTTGGAAAACTCATCGGATTTGGGCCACTTGGACTTGCCTGGGCGACCCCGGACCCTTGGCGGACGATCATGACGGCGGCCGGGACCGTCCGTGCGGGGGCCTTCGGCGGCGGTGCGGGCGACGCCGAGTCGCCGACAACATACATCAACAAGCAGGCGCGCAAGATGCGTACCAACTGGGTCAACTCCCCTGAGCGTGCCAATTGGGTCAAGAACGTTCAAGAACAAGCAAACCGCAACGGCTTCTTACGCTCGGCCACAGTGAGAGAGTGCGTTGTGTTCTTAGTAGCACTTGGAGCACTTGGAGTGCAGTTATCAGCCGCACGCCCAGGACCGGGGAGCTAAGAAGCACACCCAGTTGGCCAGACGATTGGGATCGGGTTGCGGGCAAGAGAGTCCTAGCCCTGGGGGGTGCGCGGTCGCAGGGCCATAACACGGGTCTCCGAGGGTTGGCTCCGTGTACCGGGTTTCCCCTTAACTGCAGAACAACCCCTCTACTCGGAGCTAGTAATACGAGAATACTCTCCGAGGGTTTGTCCGCGCTTTAGGTTTCCCCTAGCTGCGGGGCGCCCCCTCTACTCGGAGGTAGTGATACGGGGATACGCACCGCCCCAACGCAATACCTTACTCGACGATAATACGAGAATACGCGGCTTGCAGACGCCTATAATGTATAAAGAAACAGCGAGCTAAAGTTCGGCAGCTATGATAAACCGAAAGTTGTCGTAAAACGCGGGCGAAAGCAAAGCAGAGGGCGGGCGCTTTTGCCGCCGCGATGCCCGCAGCCTTTCGAGGCAGCAGCTTCTGCGGCGCCCACCGCGCCGTGGGGTTGACCGACAGCCGCGCCTCTCGAGCCTCCCGTGCCACGCACGGCGACGCGCACCCCGCGCGCCAGTCGGCGCACTGGTAGTACTGCACCAGCCAGCACAGCGTAGTGCAGTGCATTGGGGGCATTGTGCTGGGCGCTAGCCAGCATGCCTCAGCACAGAGCGAAAGAGCATGCTGCGCACCCTGACGCAGCATCAGCTCGCCTCCAATCAGGCTCTCTCACCACCTCACAGCCGCCCACGAGCGCCCGCAGCTGCACTGCTCAACGAGACACCTATAAAGAAACAGCGAGCAACACACCAGTGAGGGAGGGCGAGACGATCGAGGGGTCCCGTACCATGCGGAATCGACCCTATCAAGTGCTCAAGTGCTCAAACAAACAGCGAGCTAAAGTTCGGCGGCTGTGATAAACCGAAAGTTGTCGTAAAACGCGGGCGAAAGCAAAGCAGAGGGCGGGCGCTTTTGCCGCAGCGATGCCCGCAGTCTGTCGAGCAGCTTCCGTGGCGCCCATGCGCCGCGGGGTTGACCGACAGCCACGGCGTGGAGCAATGTATTGAGGCCATTGTACTGGGCGCCAGCCAGCATGCCTCAGCACAGAGCGAGAGAGCATGCTGCGCACCCTGACGCAGCATCAGCTCGCCTCCAATCAATCAGACTCTCTCACCACCGCACAGCGGTCCACGAGCGCAGCTGTGCTGCTCAACGCTCAAGCTCTGGAGCCTCCCCTCATTGTCGCAGCTTTGCGCAGTGCAGCGTGCGAGCAGCGCAGCGCCAGGCGGACCCCTGGCACGCCCGGGCGGTCGTGAGACGGAGGCCCACCGAGCGAGTGCGAGCTGCATCGGCGGCCATGTCTCCCGCAGCCGCGAGCGAGCAGCGCCAAACGTTCCTAGACTGGGGCACTTGGAGTGCAGTCATCAACCGCACATCCAGGGCCGGGGAGCTTTGATCGCATTTCTTTTGTTTAAAAGCACGTCTTATCCTTTCGCCTGCGGAAACGACCAGGGCTCCCTAGATGTCACCCCGGAAGCTCCGACGAGTTGCCACCTCCACATCAGCTCGGACCTGCGCACCTGCGCATCTGCGCTATGCCGGAGACCCCCAAGGGCAAGGCTGCGGCGACGGACTGGGTGTAACCTCCCCCCCCCCCCCCCTCTCTCGCGTCCCCCCCCGCCCGCCCTACGCGCCCAAGCACATCGGCCCCACCCCACAGGGCGACGACTGTGTCACGCCGGCAAGCGAGACCCCAACGCCGGCCAAGAAGGTGGACAAGGACCCGGTCTTCAAACGTTCCTAGACTGGGGCACTTGGAGGACTGGGTGCACTTGGAGCACTTGGAGTGCAGTCATCAACCGCACATCCAGGGCCGGGGGGCTTTCACTGGTATTTCTTTTGTTTTTTCCTCTTCGAGGCCTCCTCTGTGTCGCAGTCGGACGACGGAGCCGACCGCCGGGCTTTGTGATGGGCAGCTGTGCGTCGACGCCTCCACTACTCTCCGACCGCGGCGTTCTGCGCATCATCGGAATGACCAGCGACGCAAGCTCCTCGCAGACGAAGGCAGTCGCCGCGATGCTCATGACCGCGGAAGCGGTGAGCTGGGACGGCGACCCGGTCAAGACCGGCTCCTTCACGGCCGGCGCGGCCTCTTTCGTGGCCGCCCACTGCAATACGGCCAGTGCGGTTCTCCCGGCGACGACGCCTGGCTCCGATGGGACCTACACCCAATCCGGAGATCTCGCCATCGGTTGCGTGCCAAAAGCCAAAGCCGTCTCGCAGGCGGTCTTTGAGCGAATCCGACGAGTCCCAAGACGAGGATAGAGCTCCCGAAATTCACTCGTAGGCGGGCTTTGACGAGGCGGGGCTGCTTCTGGACGCGAGGCTGGGTGCCAAGTGGGCGGAGACGTTCGGCGACAGCGCGCAGTACGTGAAGCTCGCCGCGGCCAACCTGGCAGCCACGCCCGGCATCCGCAGGGTCGCTTGGCAGCTCGACGAGGACCGGGCGCCAGAGGAGTACGCGGATTGGGTCTCGCTCGCCGAATACAAGGCGTTCGCCGGCTACGCAGGCTCCCCTCCCTACGTCGTGCTCGGAGCAAGAGGGGTGCCGCTCAGCCAATCGGAGCTCGAGCGGCAGCCCTGGTACGCGATCACGCCCGAGCAGCTCGGCTGGGCGTGAGGCTGCTGCCGTGAGCGGGGGGGAACCGTCGTACCAGGACGCGGATTATTTTTATTAACAGAATGCATGCCTCGACCGCCGAAAAGAAAAACAAATAAAAGAAAACAGACAACCCAAGGGAGGGATGGGAGGACGGCACGCCGCCACCACACAGGGATTTTAAGGAGAGGTGTGTGGTGCCGCACGGCCATGGCGGCCCCGAAATTCTTTTCTTGTTCAGCGCCGGCCAACCTCGCGCGTCATGCCGCTCTCAAAGGAGGAGCACGCGGCATATCTGCAGCGATACCTCGGCGGCCAGCAGCAGGCGCAAGAGGGCCGTCCGAAAAAGCGCCGCAAGAAGAAGGCCGCCACGGCGCCGTCCGGGCTCCGCATCATCGACGACGACGGTGCTGCTCGCCCGCACTGCCCTCAGGTCTGGCGCGCCCCATCTCACTTGCGCGCCCCGCCCCGCAGTCAATCTCGGGTCGATCCAGTACGGGAAGGAAGAGCTCTTCGAGGAGGATCCGGAGGAGGCGCGCGCCGCTTGTCTCGCGCCGCCTCCGCACCTCCTCCCCCTCGCGCTCGCCTCCCCCTCGTTCGCCCGCCCGCCGCCCGCTCACCACCTCCCACCACCGGATCACCACGCCTCCCGCCCGCGCCTCACGCATACCCGCAGGCGCCCCTCCTCGACAATGCCGCCGCCGCAGCGCAGCCAGAGGAGCCGCCGCCGCCGCCGCGTCGCTCCGGATATGGCAGCTGGCAGGAGCTTCCTCGCGGAGGGAGGCACGATTCGCCCGACCCGAGCCCACCACGCCGCGGGCGGCACGACTCGCCGGACCCGAGCCCGCCGCGCCGCGGGCGGCACGACTCGCCGGACCCGAGCCCACCGCGGCGCGGGCGGCACGACTCGCCGGACCCGAGCCCACCGCGGCGCGGGCGGCACGACTCGCCGGATCCGAGCCCACCGCGGCGGGGGAGGCACGATTCGCCCGACCCGAGCCCGCCGCGGCGGGGTAGGCACGACAGCCCGGATCAGAGCCCGCCGCGCCGCGCCGCTCGCCACGACTCGCCGGATCCGAGCCCACCGCGGCGGGGGAGGCACGATTCGCCCGACCCGAGCCCGCCGCGCCGCGGGCGGAACGCCAGCCCGGATCCGAGCCCGCCCCGCCGCACTTCCGCCCAGCCGAGGGTGGACGGGGCGGCTGCTGCGAGACTGACGGGCATGGCCAAGGGCACGGGGGGCGGCGCCACGCTGCCGGCGGACGAGGGGCCAGCGCCTCCGCCCGCTTTCTCTGCGCCGGGGCTGCACACCAACGTCGTGTCGCAGGCGGAAGCGCTGCAGGCCCGCAGCTCTACGCAGCCGCAGCCCACACGCCCAAGACACGCCCACGACACACGCCCACGACACGCCCACGACACGCCCACGACACACGACCCGCTTGCGACCCGTCCACGACATGTCCACGACACGCCCCCCCGCAGGCGCACAATGCACAGCGGCTGCAGGCGGTAGATGCTGCCGCGCTCGGCGCGGGCGCCGACACCGTGCGGCGGGACAAGCACGGCCGCCGCCTCGACACGCTCGCCGCGGCGGCAAAGGCGGATCCGGCGGCGGGCGGCGCGCCCGCGCCCGCGCCCGCGCCGGTGTGGGGTCGGGGGCTGGTGCAGAAGCGGCAGGGGCGCGAGGCGCGCGCGCACGAGGCGGAGTACTCCGCGCGGCCGCTCGCGCAGTACGAGGACAACGCCGACCGCGACGCGGCCATGCGTGGCGTGGAGCGGTGGGGCGATCCGATGCTGGGCCGGCTGAGCAAGCAGAGCAAGCCGTCGGGGAAGCCAAAGTACTCTGGGCCGCCCGCGCCGCCCAACCGGTTCCACATCCCGCCCGGCTACGAGTGGGACGGCGTCGACCGCTCCAACGGCTACGAGAAGCAGTTCTTCAAGGCGCAGGGCGAGGCGAGGGCGCGCTCCGAGCAGGCGCACATGTGGGCTGTCGCTGACATGTGAGAGCCGTTTGTGTGCGTGAGCGAGCAAGATATTCAGAGACTCCTCATAAATAAATTAATAAAAACCGGACACCTCTACTGTGAGATGGGTAAAAAGGAACAGCAACATAGGGGTCCCCGCCCAGAGACTCCTCAGTCGAGTAAATAAATAAATAAAAACGGTCAAACTCTGAGACGAGATGGGATTTAGGGACATGTGTCCCCGCCCTGCACGATCTTGGTGTGAGGGATCTTCAATCCGTCCCCTCACCCCCTGGTCACTACCCGACACTAGAAGAGCAGCAAGAGTTGGGGCTGCGGCTACGGCTGCGGCTGCGGGAGGGGCTATGGTCGCGGGAGAGAGAGCCGCTGCGCCGCGTGGGCGCGCCTACACCGCGCTTGCTCCGCTCGCCACCTCTCGCAAAGGTCCAAAGTCATAGCCATCACCTCCTCCGGCAAGTCCTTTTCGCCTATCTCGCCGTCCCTCCATGCCTGGTAGAGCTCGTCGTCATAGCCATATTGCATCACAGCCTGCTGCACTGCGTCGTGCACAACCCCTGCCACCCTATCCCGCGCCTCAGCGTCGGAAATTTCGAGCTCGGAGTCATACCCGGAAGCAGGCGCAGACGGCCGCGGCGATTTGGCAGGCGGCGAGGTGGGGGAGGGAGAGCGCGGCGGTGCGCGCTCGGTGCTCCCGCTGGTGCCAGAAGGGCCAGCGCCCAATGCGCTCAGCCTGTTCTTGTCCACCACCTTGGGAGAAGGGGGTGGGGGTCCACCTCCCTTGCGCCTTGGGTGCGGGCTTGCGGTGTTCCTGCTTCCGCTTGCCCGACTTTGGCGGGTTGCGGCCGAAGTCGAGTACGGACGTCGCTGTTTTTTTTTAGACATGAGATTGGAAGGCCCGCGCGCAGGGGGGTGGGACATTGAGATTGAACATTCTGTTCAGCGTGTGGACCACTTGTCCGATGTTCACACCGCGACAATTCTCAAGCTCACTCCAACTCAGCGGCCGCCGCGCTGCTTAGGCCCACGCGGTGCTTTGCCTTTGGGGCGCTAGTCTGATTGGATGAGCCCCCGGCTTGCGGCTCGCCGTCATCCCGTGTCGCACTCCCGGTCGCGAGGGCCGCCCCGTGTCGCCACCCCATCGCAATGCCGGCCCGCAAGCCGGCAACGTCCACCGGCGCGGGAGAAGCGGTGCGAGAGCCGGGTGGCATGGGGAGCGGGCTGACGTTCCCAGACATCCTCCGCTCAAGGATCTCTGCGGTCGACCTCGGAGTGTCGCCGCTCCGACGCGCGGCGACGCCAGGCCCTCGCCGGAGCTCCCCCTCTCGAGAGACGAACGCCGCGACCTGCGCCGCGCGCGCCGCCTCCGCAGCCTGCTTGGCCGCCTCCGCCTCGGACCGCCTCTGCGACCGCCTCGCCGCCCTGGCCACCTCCCTGGCCTCCGCAGCCTCACGGCGAGCGAGCGCCTCCTCCCTCGCCGCCGCCGCCTCGGCCGCCGTGAAGGCCTCGCCAGCGGCTGGCAAGCGCGAGCCGGTCGCGCCGCCGCTTTCGGCGGCGGGGACCTGCGCCTGCGCGTGGAGAAGGACAAGCGTGGGCGCCGCCCCGTCCGCATGCAGCGAGGGGAGGAGGTACCGCAGCGACGAGATGGTTTGGGACAGGCGCTTTGCTCGCGGCCACAGCTCTGGAAAGGGGGCGCCGGAGCCGTGATCGCGCCGGTGCGCGGGAGGCGGCGGCGGAGTGGGAGGAGGGTCGGTCAATCGGCCGTGCCTCCTCGCTCGCGGCCCCGCGAGGGAGTGTCTCGCGGCGATGAGCAGGCCGAGGAGCAGGCCGAGGAGGCCGAAGGGGAGGAGGGCCGCCGCAAATTCGAGGGGGCGCGAGGAGAGGCCGGCGAACGAGAGCGGCGGCGGCGGTGAATGCGGCGGCGGCGGTGAATGCGGCGGCGGCGGTGAAGGCGGCGGCGGCGGCGGCAGCGGGGGAGGGGGCGACGGAGCGGGTGGCGAGGGCGGCGACGGCGGCGAGGGTGGCGGTGAAAGGGGCGGAATCGGTGGCGTGGAGGGCGGAGCCTTGTCGGGCGGGTGCGGCGGCGACGAGGGCGGGGACTGTGGTGGCAGGCCTGGGAACGGTGCAGGGGGTCGGGGCGGCGCTGCCGGCGGCGGCGGCGCGGCGGGCGACGGCGGCAGCGGCGGCGGCGAGGGCGGCGACGGCAGCAGCGGCGGTGGTGAAGGTGACGGCGGCGGGGAGGGCGGCTGCGGCGGCGGAGCGGCGGGACGACCCCAGAATCCCAAGCTCAGGTGCGGTGTCTGCGGGGAGGGCGGCAGTGGTGGTGGGGGCGGCGGCGGCGGCAGGGAGGGCGGCAGAGGCGGCAGCGGCGGTGGCGGCGGTGGCGAGGGCGGCGGCGACGAGGGCGGCAGCGAGGGCGGCAGCGGCGGCGAGGGCGGCAGGGGCGGCCATGGTGGGATTGGCGGCGGTGGTCGCGGCGAGAGCGGAGTCGGCGGTGAGGACGGCGGCGAGGGGGGCGGCGAGGGGGGCGTTTGAGGCGGTGTCGGAGGGCGTGGTGGCAGATGCGGATGCGGCGACGGCGGCGGCGAAGGAGGGGGTGGGAGCCAGGGCGGCGATGTTGGAGGCGGTGGAGGCGGTGGCGATGGGTGCGGTGGCCACGGGTGCGGCGGCGGAGCCTGTGGCGGCGGCGCGGACGGCGGCGGCAGAGGCGGTGGTGGCGGTGGTGGCGGAGGTGGCGACAGCGGCGGCGGCGGCGGCGGCGGCGACGGCGGCGGCGGTTGCGGTGGAGACGGCGACGGCGGCGGCGGCGGAGGAGAGGGTGGCGGAGGGCTCGGTGGGGGAGGCGACGGTGGCGGCGGCGGCAGAGGCGGAGCCTGTGGCGGCGGTGCGGACGGCGGCGGTGGCGACAGCGGCGGCGACGGCGGCGGCGGCGACGGCGGCGGCGGCGGCGGTGGAGAAGGCGACGGCGGCGGCGACGGAGGAGGCGTTGGCGGCGTTGGCGGCGGCGTGAATGGCTTATGTGCCCACCACGGCGGCGGCGGCCCCCCCGGCGGCCCCCCCGGCGGCAGGGGAGGCGTTAATTGGGCGAGCGGGAACCCGCAGGAGAGGGTTAGCGGTGACATTTTTGTGCACTGTGTCCTGGCACCTAGGAATCTCCTACGGGGATCTCCAGACTCAAAGGCGCTGTAAAACAAAAACCGCGGGCCGCCTGGATCGTTCGTGAGCACGTCTCGCAAGACGGTGCAAACACGCAAAACGGTCCATACCTCTTTTTGGCTCTCTCTCTCTCTCGCTCGCTCGCTCGAACCCGGGAACTAGCTAGCCGGGCGGGGCAGTCGAGAGAGATTTTTTGTTGAAAAATTTGAAAACCAACAAGAAATCACGACACTCACAGTGATTTGGGTTCGGCAGCTTGTCAGCCCTCAGCCGAAGCTGGGGCCGGTGCCCCGCTGGTCCCGTAGCCGAGAGAGCCCGCGCCGATGAGTTCGACGCGGTCGGGAGGCCTTGCGGAGAGGCCAGCGAGGTGGCGATCGCTGTACTTCATGTGGTGCCCTCGGTGGGGCGGCTGACAAGCCAGAGGTCGATACTCTGGATGACCCATAGGATGCCACGAATGCCTGAAGGAGAGGGAGGCGAGGCCAGAGGCAGACTCAGCTGCTCTCGGGTGATCTCGCTCTCTTTTTGCAGTCGGAGAAAGAAGGGGCAACTCCGCGCACTGACGGTGGTCTCTCTCTCTCTCTCTCTCTCTGACGGTCGGGCCAGAAAACACGTGGACGCGTTACATACACCAATCCTGCTACCCAACGAACGCGGCCACCGGATAGATCCAATCAGCCTCGAGAGCCGCTGCGGAACTGGGGTTTTACCTTGTGCAGGGCGTGAACTGCCGCTGGACCCAAGGCGTGAACCACCCCGCGCCTTGGGCCCGTGAGCCGGCGCTCTGCAGCCTTTGACGCAGGTCGCAAGAAGAGCGACTGCCACTCCCCGGGCCGGGCCCTGGCGAGCGGGCGCGTGGCGCCCGACTCTCTGCCATGACCTCCGGGAGGTTGAGTGGCAACCTCGGTGAGGTTTACTTAGGGACGGTTTTAGAATTTTACAACAAAACTCCCTCGCACAACACTGGGCACGGGACTGGCGCGCACTGGCACTAACGGTTTTCGAATTTTAGAACTTCAATCGCGGTTACTCAAGGTCAAGCCACACAAAACACCCCTCACCCGCTTCCTAGCCTACTTTTCAGCGTTTCCGGTCTTGCAAAATCGGGCGGGTGCAGCGGCGCGAGCGAGACCTCTCGGAGGTCGCACAGGCCGACCTCGGGGAGGTCGGGAAAACCCCGTTCGGCTAGATCATCTTCTACTCGCTCCCCACACATTCACAGACACTACGGCCGTCACGGGAGACACACAGTGACTAATGAGACTGTTCATTCACACGTGACGTTCACACCTGAGACTCTAGCGTCTAGGGTGTATCCACAACTAACTACCAACTTGAGAAGAGCCGAGGACCGAACCTGACTGACTGACTTCCGCTGAGCTTCACTCGCTTCACAGACCTTGTTATTGAGAAGAAAATACGTCCTATGGCGCTGTGCGCTGGTCTATGAGAGGTATGTATGTATGTAGGAAGGTGAAGAACAGCCAGGCTCGGACTGGACACCAACACGGTATGGGTGGACGCTGGACAGATGATGACGGCACGCACGAGCGACACCATGAGCGACACACAGACACAAACAGGCTCACAAGACACACAGCCAGCTGGCTGCCACACACCCTGAGTAGGCGTACACATAACTCAGGGCCACATCCTCCCTGTCGCCCCCCCCAGCACTCCAAGGTGCCAAGAGAACAAACAAGGGCACAACAACACAACAGACGACAGGAAGTAACATGCGAGGCTAGAGCAGGCTTGCTCCACCTCTAGCAATCTCGCCGGCCGGCGAGGCACGGACGAGACCGTGTGTGGGGTCTAGTGAGGTGTCTGTCTATGGACGCCCTCTTCACAAGCTAGCGGCCTACTGCTAGCCCTAACTCGCACTCACGGGTTGACAATTCATTGGGTGAGTGTTTGCGAGCAGAAGCGCGTGTGCTAATTCTAGGCCGCACGTCGTGGCACTATGACGGAGTTAGACGTGCGGCCGCAGCGCGCCCGCCGCAGGCTCGGCGATGCGCGCGTGTTAGCGAGAAAGTTGCGTGAGCCATGCCCGACTTTTCGAAGGCGAGCGAGGCCTCTGCCTGCGACGAGTGCCAGCCGCGCTGCGGAGCCACGCCCTTCGAGCCGCGTCCCGTCGGCACCGTCCCTGAGTGTGTCTCGCCTTGGCGACACACACTCGACGAGGACAGTCCTGCTGACGAGAACGTGTCGCGCGCCGGCGACGGTTGCGGCGAGAGGGTAGAGATTCACGCCTCATGTAAAATTCACGCCTCAAAGCGCGGGAGAACGAATTCCGGCGTTTTTCATAATTCTCACCCTGGTCCCTGCTATACTACTCGAGTACTAGTACCAACTGCATGCCGCTTCTCTTCCAGAGCACAACTTTGGGCTCATCTCCAACACTGCCGGCCTACCAACAGCCACACGCCCCCTCGCTACCACATTGAAGCGGAAGCGAGACACTTCCCTGGGAGGAAAATAAATTTAGGCCCGCGGCGGGAACTGCTCCTCTTGCCTCTGTTATTTTCTGTTATTCTTTTCTTTCCTACGCAAAAGGAAAGCTGCAATGCTGGCAGCTATAAAGACCGTGTGATGCGCCTCAGAGAGTCGGACAGGCGGCACACTGAGTACTAAAAAAAGAAAAAAAGCAGCCGCAGAGCGGGAACGAGCGACGAGCGCGCGAAGCCACAATCGATCGAAATGCCTTCAGAATTGCACTCCACCATCCTCTCCAACCCGCTCTCCGAGCTCAACGCCGCCTTCGACGCGGCCTGCGCCAAGGGCGACGAGGCTGCGCTCAAGCACGGCGCCGTGCTCTCGCTCGCGTCCAAGGTGGAGGCGGTCCTCGAGCGTGACGGTGCCAGCGCCGTGCCGAGCCTCAACGTGCTGCGGCAGGAGGAGCTGCCCGCGGGAGCGCTCGTGCGCTTCCAGGGCATGGTGATGGACATGCACGACCCCGAGTACTACGCCGGCGTCTACGAGGAGGTGCGGCCCGACGGCGCCTCCCGCATGCGGACGGGCAAGTTCCGCGACACCTTCGATGAGCCGGCCGGCTGCACGATCCGGCCGCGCTCCGACTTCACCTGGCAGCGGACGCCGATCGTGGTCGCGCCGCTGCCGGGCCAGACGGCCTGGGCCGCCGCCGCCGCGGTCAACGGCGGGGCGGCCTCCTCTGCGGCCGCGCCGGCCGCCGCCGCGCCGGCGCGCTCGGGCGGCGGCAAGCGGCCGATGGAGGAGGACGTGGCGATGGAGGAGGAGGAGGGGGGGGAGGGGGGGACGGAGGAGGAGTCGAAGCGGTCGCGCGCGTCTGCGCTCGGCGCCGCGGCCGCCGCGCCGCCCGCCTTCACCCTCAACTCCGCCTCCGCCGCCGAGTGCGCGCCGTGCGAGCCAGAGGCGGCGCCAGACCCGCACGCGGCTTGGTCGCGGAGCGCGGCCCTCGGCACGAGCCTGGTCAAGCTGTACGACGGGGCGGAGGAGGGGGCGGGCGAGGCGTCCCTCCGCCTCAACGACGTCGTCGAGTTCTACGGCGTCCTCGAGCTCGGCGGCGAGACGGACGTGGCCGACGGCGACGAGTCAGCCATCTCGATGCTGGTGGACGAGCAAAAGGCGCTGCGGCCGCCGCCATCGGCGCAGCCGCGGCTGCACTGCCTGTACTACCGCAAGATCGCGGGCGGCGCGGCGCACCCCCTCCTCCCCGCCCCCGACACCTACGCCGAGACCCTCGCCTACCAGCTCGCGCGCCACCACGTCGCCGACGCGCGCGCGGCGGTGACCGCGCAGCTCGCCGCCGCGCTCGGCGGCGACGGCGTCGCGGCGGAGCTGACGCTCTGGTCTGTCCTCTCGCGCGTCATCACGCGGCGCGGCGAGGCGCCCATCGGCAAGCTCCCCCTCAACATCACCGGCTGCCCCTCCGCCGTCGCACAGCCCGCCGCCTCGCCGGTGGGCGCCGCGCTGCAGGGCGCGCTCTCGGCGCTCCTCCCGTGCGTGGTCCCGTTCCGGCTCACCATCGAGACGCTCAACGCGACGCCGATGGTGCCGCGCAAGGACTACTCCGCCAACATCCTCTCGCCCGGCGCGCTGCAGCTCCCCGCCGGTGCGGCGCTTCTGATTGACGAGACCGGCCTCGCGCCAGGGAAGCTGTCCGAGGCAGGGCTCAAGTCGCTCGGCGCGCTCAAGGACCTGATCGCGCGGCAGAAGCTCGCCTTCGACTTCACCTACTTCGCGCACGACGTCGACGCCGACGTCTCCCTCCTCTCCCTCTCCTCGCTCAAGTCGGTCCTCGCCAAGGACTCGCCCGGCCTGCTGCAAGTCGCGCTCGCCGTGCAGCCCGACGCGCCGCAGCCGCCGCCGCTCGACGCGGCGAGCCTCGAGGCGGCGCGCACCTACCTCGGCCTCGCCGTGCGCTGCCTCTCCTCCCTCAAGCCGACGGACGAGAAGCTCGCCGCCGCGCTGCAAGACGACTTTGTCGCCGCGCGCCGCGCCGACGCCACCGTCTCGCCCGACGACTTTTCGCACTGGCTCACGTGTGCGCGGCTGCACGCGGCGTCGTGCTTGGCGACGGAGGTGAGCATCGAGCACTACATGCACGCCAAGCAGGTGGAGGCGGCGCGCGTCGCCCGGCTCCGCCAGGTGGAGGTTTAAAAGTGGGCGAGCGGGGACAGCGTCTTGAGCGGGACACGAGACCACATGCTACCGGCGGGTCGTCGCCATCCCGTGTGTATTTTCCATATGTACCGCTCTCTTTGCGCGGAGCAGTGTCGTTGTGTCTGTAATCCTATTTGGGTAAAAGCTGGCTCTGGAGGTCGCTTTCAACAGGACGAACAGTGATCAGTCGTGTTTGGAAGTTGGAAGGAAATACAGCGAAATTGAGAGGTTTGAGCGAACCGGCTAGTCGCTACAGGTACCCGTACAGTGTGTACGGTGCACACAGGCGCTTGACCGCTGCCGCTCGCGTCGTGCGCTCGCGCGTCGCGCGGGCTCGGCGGGCGGCCGCTCATGGGCCGGCGTCTCGGGGCGGGACTCTTATACTACATGTACGGCTCCGCGCTACAGCCTACACGACTTCCGGCCGTCACGATAGACGTGTTGTACGAAACGCGTCGCGCCAATACTAACGAAGAACCAGTGTACTAGCCGGTCTCGCTCTCGCCCGGCGCGGCGGCGTACCATCGCTGCCCGTCGACGAGGCACTCGAGCGTGTTGACGTCGAGGAGGCTCTCCACGCCGCCGACCACCTTTGGCCGCACCCACAGCCTCCTCTCCGCGTCGAGGACGAAGCCGATCCCCTCGAGGCGCGCGGCGACGTTGTTGAGGTAGCGGTAGCCGCCCGTGCCCGGCTTGACCACGTACGCGTCGCGCACGTCCGGGTGGTACGCCTCGAGCCAAGGGTCGCCGGTGCCCGCCTCGACGACGCTGAAGAGCCCCTCCGCCAACCGGTACGCAAGCTTCTCTGCGTCGGTCCCGAAGGCGTCCGTCACGCTCACCCGCCTGCTACTCGCCGCCGCCCCGTTGCCGCCCGCCCCTGCTCCGAGCGACGCCTCGCTCGCCGCCTTCTGATGCGGTGCCGCCTCCTCCGCGGCGCTGTTGTGGAGCGCTTCCCGCATGGCTGCCGCGGCGGCGGAGGGCAGGCTGTCGAATCGCCCCAACACGTGCCTCAAATACGACGGCGGCGCCTCCGACAGCAACACGCCCACGTGCTTCCCGAATCCGACCCGCAGCGTGGCGCCGTCCTCCCGGTCGAGGTAGAGGTAGGGGCCGTACCGCGCCGTCTCCGCGTCGAGGAGCGCACGCAGCCGCGCCTGCTCGGCCAGTGCGGCGTCGACGTCGTCCGGGATCACCCCGTCCGCCAGCAGCCCACTCAGCACCGCCCCGGTGGCGGCGGCATCCGCCGAGGCAGAGTGCGCGTTTGTGAGGGAGTGCGAGTACCGCTCCGCCGCCGGGCCGAGGGCGCGCGAGGGCCACTGTCTGCGGTGGTAACGCAGCCACACCAGCGGGTCGAGGACGGCCGCGGCGTCGATGGCCGCCCGCACGCCGTGCCGCTCGAACTCCGCGTTGAGGAGCGGCACGTCGTACTCGAGCGCGTTGTAGCCGCAGAGGAGGGGCGGCGAGGAGGGACCGCCGCCCGCCTCCGCCTCGCCACTCAGGTGCGCGGCGAACCGGCCTCCAACCTCGCCAAAGGGAGGCGCGCCCGCCACGACCGCGTCGCTGAGGCCGTGCACCGCGCTCGCCTGCGCCGGGATGGGCACGCCCGGGTCGACGAGCATCCCTCGCGGAGGTCCCACCCGCGCGCCGCGCCGCCAGTACGCGGCGCCCAGCTGGACGACTCGGTCCGCGGCCGTGTCGAGCCCGGTCGTCTCCGTGTCGAAGATGAGCACGAGCCGCTCGCTGATCCGCGAGGAGGGCGGGGCGAGGCTCGCGCCGGGCGGAGGCGGCGACAGCGGCGGAGGCGGCGACAGCGGCGGAGGCGGCGACAGCGGCGGAGGCGGCGACAGCGGCGGAGGCGGCGACAGCGGCGGAGGCGGCGATAGCGGCGGCACCAGACTCGGCGGAGCCAGAGCCTCTGAGAGCCGCGCCTCCGAGGCGGGCGGCAGGGCCTCCGAGAAGGGAGGCAAGGTCCACTCGATGGGTGGTGCGCCGCGGGCAAGCAAGTGGTCGTTTGCCCTCGAGAAGTGGCGGCAGCCAAAGAAGCCGCGCCGCGCCGAGAGCGGGCTCGGGTGCGGCGCGCAGAGGACGGAGTGAGACGTCTCGTCGACCAGCCTCGCCTTGGCCTGGGCAGCCTTGCCCCAGAGAAGAAACACGAGGCCGGTCCGGCGCTCGCTGAGCGCTCGGATGGCGGCGTCGGTCAGCGCCTCCCACCCGAGGGAGGAGTGCGACGCCGCCTCGGCCGCGCGCACTGTCAGCACGGAGTTGAGGAGGAAGACTCCCTGCTCCGCCCACGCCCGAAGGCAGCCGTGCGGCGCGGGCGGCACGCCCACGTCGCTCTCCAGCTCCTGGTAAATGTTGCGGAGACTTCCTGGCGGCGGCACGCCCGGCCGCACCGAGAAGGCGAGCCCCATCGCGTGGCCGGGTGTCGGGTAAGGGTCCTGCCCAAGGATGACGACGCGCACGTCGTCGAAGGCGCAGGCCTCGAAGGCGGCGAATGTCTCTTCCGGCCGAGGGAGCACGTCCGCACTCGCGCGCTCGGCGCTCAGGGCGGTGCGGAGCCGCTGGAGCTGGTCCGACTCCATCAGCCCTGGAGGGAGCGCATCGCGCCACGATGGCGGCAGCGCCCAGCAGTCACTGCTGCTGGCGGTGGCCACCAGAGCGGCTCGGCAGCGATAGCGGGGCGTGAGAAGGTGGTGCCGGCCAAGAAGAGACTCGGCGAGGGAGTGGACGAGCTGCATGCACACGTGGGCGCCTGTAGGCCGCGCTTGAGCCGGTGTGTGTGCGAGTCCGCGCCAGTCCGCGCCCTGTCGTGCCAGTGTGCCCCTGTGAGAGCGCGGCTTGGGTTAAAAGAATTCTTTTGGCGCAAAGCGCGGTTGTGCCCGAAGTTGCCTCGTATGCCGCCCCCCCACCCACCCCACTGCAGCCCCCCCCCCCCCCCCCCCCAAGCGTATAAGAATATCGAAACACAGACTCAACCCCGCCACGGCCGCCACCTCACTGCCCCGGGCCGGCGACCACACCTCGATCTTCTTGGGCAGCAGCTGGTTCGGCAGGTCCTCTCCGTGGCCCAGGCAGCCGTGTTCGCCCTTCCCCCACGAAAAGACGGCGCCATCGGCGGTGAGGGCGAGGCTGTGGTATGCTCCAGCCGACACGGCGACAACGCGCCGCCCAGCAAAGGCCTCGATCTTCTTCGGCAGCTGGTGCTGCTCATCGCCGTGGCCCAGCTTGCCAAAGCTGCCACCGCCCCAGCTCCAGACGGCGCCGTCGGCGGTGAGGGCGAGGCTGTGCACGCGTCCAGCCGACACAGCGACAACGCGCTGCCCAGCCAAGGCCTCGACTTTCTTTGGCAGCGGCTGGTTTTGCTGGTCGCCGTGGCCCAACTTTCCACCGGCTCCATCGCCCCAGCTCCAGACGGCGCCGTCGGCCGTGATGGCGAGGCTATGGAAAAATCGAGCCGACACAGCGACGACGCGCTGGCCAGCAAAGGCCTCGACCTTCTTCGGCAGCAGCTGGCGCTGCTCGTCACCGTGGCCCAACTTGCCAAAGTATCCACTGCCCCAGCTCCAGACGCCGCCGTCGGCAGTCAGGGCGAGGTTGTGGCCGAGTCCAAGGGAGACAGCGACGAGGCGCTGGGCAGCAAAGGCCTCGACCTTCTTGGGCAGCAGCTGGTTCTGATAGTCACCGTGGCCCAGCTGGCCAGAGGCTCCAAAGCCCCAGCTCCAGACACTGCTGTCGGCGAATGGCGAGGTTGAAATTACCTCCAGCCGACACAGCGACGGCGCGCTCGCCGCCCAGCGGGGAGGGGAGGCGGGTTGGCGTGTTGAGCCGCGTCACGCCCTCGCCGTGCCCGAGCAGTCCTGGCGTCCAGCCCTCAGCCGTCTCGCTACCGCACGACGAGAGCCGTCCCTCACCGTCGATGAAGAGGCTGTGCAGGTATCCTACCGCCGCCCTCACCGGCGGGTTGGACTCGCGCAGCAGCGCAGAAAGGCACAGCCACCGCACGGCGCAGCCCTCGCCCTCTGGCTGCGCCGGCAGCTTGAAGCCGCGCTCTTGCGCCCACAAGCGGATGCCCTCCAGCGCGAGCGAGGCGTGGAAGAGCAGCGAGACGGCCGCGACGCGAGCGATGTCGGCGGGGTCGCAGCGGGAGATGACGCGCGCGATAAGCTCAAGGGGCAGGTCGATGAGGGGGCAGTGTGCGGCGGCGGCGGCGGCGGCGGCGGAGCGGCGTTGGGCGGGCATTCACCCAGTCCATGACGGTCCAGCCGACCAACTCGTCCATGAGGCTCTTGACCGCAACCAGGTTGGCCACGCAGAGCTCGACAGATGAGTGCCACGCTGGCAGACTGTTCCAAGGGCAAGGGAGAGGGGCTGGCTCCTAGCCAAAGAGGGGAGCTTCCGAGACCCACTACATGACCACGCACACATCATCCCGCGGCCTGGTGGTCGGCGGGATTGCAACCAGTCTTCGCGTGCCGCCTGTCGTTCGACTCGGGCGCCTTGACGCTTGAGCGTCGGGGTGGCGAGCCGGGGACGCGGCTCTGAGCGACCAGCGACG